GTTATTCTAAAGCAAAGGGTACGTTTTAGCTTCTCAAAGATGGTTCGGCATCAATAATGTATCTATTTATCACCAGTGTATTTATAACTGTTACAGAGTGGCAGCTAACGTTAGCGGAGCGGGACGACATTCAAAGGAGTGACAGGAAGTAATATTTTTATGTTTGTAGCCATAATTGAATGAAAAATCCAGTTTGTTGCAAGCGTTACTGTTTTATACCAAGATATTCTCCATATTCTCTGTAGACAGATGGATATAACTTGGCTTTTGTATTGGACTTTTTAATGTTTTTATTTCAGGTGTTTTAACCATTTTTTTTCTTCGGATGCTCCCGTTTTTCTGAACTAAACTTGGACTGAACCAAATAAATGGGAACAAAAGTACGAAAAGATTGTTTTTACCTTCTGTATTTGACTGATTCAATTCTGTCTGTCGTCTGTCTCTACCAGTGTGGGCGGGTCCCAGCTCAAAAGTGGCCAAAATGACGTGCGCTGACATGCTGCAGTACCACCCCGGGCCGATGGGGGTGGACCCAGAAGTAGACTTAGCCAATGCTAACATATAGCGTTGGCAGACCTCTCAAAAACGTCTTTACAGGATGGTCCAAAAGTTGGCTCTTGGCCCAAAGCTCCGTTCCACATGTGTGTCAATGCTGAGGGGGTGTTTTGGTCCACTCTAGTTTAGTTGCTGTGGATGTTTTTAAGTCTCTCGTTCAAATGAATGATGAGTTGCGCCGGCTGACGCATGCGCAGATGCGTTTTTTCACAATTTTCTTGTGGGCGGGACCACTCGCGGCCATTTTGGATAGCTCCAGTAGAGCACATTTTTTGGTCCATTAGTTAGAACGGCGGAGATAGGCGTGACTCTGTCCATTAATATATACAGTCTATGGTCTGTACATATGTCTATCTATCTGTATGTTTATCTGTCTGTATGTCTATCTATCTGTGTGTTTATCTCTCTGTCTGTCTGTCTATCTGTATGTTTATCTGTCTGTATGTCTATCTATTTGTGTGTTTATCTCTCTGTCTGTCTGTCTGTCTATATGTCTGTCTGGCTGTCTATCTATCTGTATGTTTATCTGTCTGTATGTCTGTCTGTCTATCTATCTGTGTGTTTATCTCTCTGTCTGTCTGTCTGTCTATCTATCTGTATGTTTATCTGTCTGTATGTCTATCTATTTGTGTGTTTATCTCTCTGTCTGTCTGGCTGTCTATCTATCTGTGTGTTTATCTCTCTGTCTGTCTGTCTGTCTATCTATCTGTATGTTTATCTGTCTGTATGTCTATCTATTTGTGTGTTTATCTCTCTGTCTGTCTGTCTGTCTATATGTCTGTCTGGCTGTATCTATCTGTATGTTTATCTGTCTGTATGTCTATCTATTTGTGTGTTTATCTCTCTGTCTGTCTGTCTGTCTATATGTCTGTCTATCTATCTGTATGTGTATCTGTCTGTCTATCTGTCTGTGTGTCTGTCTGTGTGTCTATCTGTCTGTCTGTCCATCTGTCTGTCTGTCTGTGTGTCTATCTGTCTGTCTGTGTGTCTATCTGTCTGTCTGTGTGTCTATCTGTCTGTCTGTCTGTGTGTCTATCTGTCTGTCTGTCTGTGTGTCTATCTGTCTGTCTGTGTGTCCATCTGTCTGTCTGTCTGTGTGTCTGTGTGTCCATCTGTCTGTCTGTCTGTGTGTCTGTCTGTCTGTGTGTCTATCTGTCTGTCTGTGTGTCTATCTGTCTGTCTGTCTGTCTGTGTGTCTATCTGTCTGTCTGTCTGTGTGTCTATCTGTCTGTCTGTCTGTGTGTCTATCTGTCTGTCTGTCTGTCTGTGCGTCTATCTGTCTGTCTGTCTGTGTGTCTGTCTGTGTGTCTATCTGTCTGTCTGTCTGTGTGTCTATCTGTCTGTCTGTCTGTGTGTCTATCTGTCTGTCTGTGTGTCTATCTGTCTGTCTGTGTGTCTATCTGTCTGTCTGTCTGTGTGTCCATCTGTCTGTCTGTCTGTGTGTCTATCTGTCTGTCTGTCTGTCTGTCTGTCTGTGTGTCTGTGTGTCCATCTGTCTGTCTGTCTGTGTGTCTGTCTGTCTGTGTGTCTATCTGTCTGTCTGTCTGTGTGTCTATCTGTCTGTCTGTCTGTCTGTGTGTCTATCTGTCTGTCTGTCTGTGTGTCTATCTGTCTGTCTGTCTGTGTGTCTATCTGTCTGTCTGTCTGTGTGTCCATCTGTCTGTGTGTCCATCTGTCTGTCTGTCTGTGTGTCTATCTGTCTGTCTGTCTGTCTGTCTGTGTGTCTATCTGTCTGTGTGTCTATCTGTCTGTCTGTGTGTCTATCTGTCTGTTTGTCTATCTGTCTGTGTGTCTATCTGTCTATCTGTCTGTGTGTCTATCTGTCTGTTTGTCTATCTGTCTGTGTGTCTATCTGTCTGTGTGTCTATCTGTCTGTCCAAACACCAAAGTCCACCAAAGTCCTCCCTGGTGCTGCAGACCTTTATGAGCAGACATAACCAGCTGATGACCCGTGCTCATAAATCTCAATAAACCCGTCTTAAAGGCACAGTAACCGCACATTAATGAGCTTCCATGACATTCTGCAATAACAAGACCTTTGCCAGAGCCCTGAATATGCCACGCAGACGACCGGGAATTAATAAAACCGCCATCGTTCCTCATTGTGCGATATTGGAGATAACGGACTCCATTTTAAATTCCGGGAGAGACACTTCCAAGTTTGGCGAGTCCCCGTTATCAGCCGCAACAAAGCCCTGCGCTCTCTGCATTTATTACTTTTCTAGAAAGTCACCGTCCTCTGCTGTGTCTGCCCCAAAACCACCACAAAAAGTCTCTTTCAGCGAGAGATCAGAACTCCCGATCTCTGCACGGCGAGCGTCAGTGTGGGCCGCATTGTCCAAGGTCAGCTGGTCATCGCCGCGGTAATTACGGTGAGAAATTCTTTTAATTATTGGATGTAAAGATAAAACTAATGAGCTTTGGCCTTTCGGGAATTATGGCGAGAGGATCGGTAATTCTATAGATGTGAAATGTGAGGATTCTCTCTGGTCTCACTCTGGTCACTGGTCTCTTTCTGGTGTCTCTCTCTCTAATCTCTCTCTCACTCTCTATGGTCTGTCTCTGTTCTCTCCCTCTGGCCTCTATATCTGGTCTCTCTCACTGCATTGGTTACTGGTCTCTGTCTCTCTCTCTCTCTCTGGTCTCTCTCTGGTCTCTTCCTGGTCTCTCTCTGGCCTCTCTCTGGTCTCTCTCTTAGTCTCTTTCTGGTCTCTCTCTATAGTCTCTGATCTCTCTCTATAGTCTCTGGTCTCTCTCTCTGGTCTCTCTCTGGTCACTAGTCGCTCTGGTCTCTCTCTTAGTCTCTCTTCGGTCCCTTTCTGGTCTCTCTCTCTCTCTCTCTCTCTCTCTCTCTCTGGTCTCTCTCTATAGTCTCTGGTCTCTCTCTGATCTCTCTCTGGTCTCTCTCTTAGTCTCTTTCTGGTCTCTCTCTATAGTCTCTGGTCTCTCTCTGGTCTCTCTCTGGTCACTAGTCGCTCTGATCTCTCTCTTTGGTCTCTCTCTAAGTCTCTCTTTGGTCCCTTTCTGGTCTCTCTCTTTCTAGTCTCTGGTCTCTCTCTCTTAGTCTCTCTTTGGTCTCTCTCTGGTCTCTCTCTGGTCTCTCTCTGGTCTCTCTCTTAGTCTCTCTCTGGTCTCTCTCTGCTCTCTCTCTGGTCTCTCTCTGCTCTCTCTCTGGTCTCTCTGGTTAATCCCAGCTTCTGTCTGCTCCTGGCTCTAAGTGAAAGAGTGAAAGAGAGAGATGTGGTTAAAAGCTTTTCTGAGCTTTTGACTCAGATAATTGTTCTAGTACACACTGAACTGTATTTTGATAATGTCCTTCTGCAGCCATTTTCTCTCTCCACTCAAAAGTATTTTCCCCTGAACATGAAAAATAGTCAGAGCTCCTGATTTATGGTTTTCAGCTTCCTGCAACATTTTGAGGACAATTTTCCAATTAAAAAGAAACAATATTCTGTTTTTGAAAAATACTGTAAGATTTGCATTCACCTCAACGTTAGCCCCAATGCAGAAGATGCCGATTTTTACATAAGCTAGCAAGAGCAAAAAGTCTTACATGGGCATTTCAATCAATGGTGGGATTGGTCTCGCTTTGAACTCTCTTTCCGGTCTCTCTCTCGCTGGTCTCCGTCTGGCCTCTCTCTCTTGTCTCTCTGGTCCCTCTCTGGTCTTTCACTAGTCTCTCTCTAGTCTTTCTTTCTTGTCCCTCTCCGGTTTATCTTTCTGGTCTCTCTCTGTTGTCTCTCTGGCCTCTCTCTTTGGTCTCTCTCTAGTATTTCATAGTCTCTCTTTGGTCTCTCTAGTCTCCCTCTGGTCTCTCCCTGGACTCTCTCTCGTCTCCGTCTGGCCTCTCTCTGGTCTCTCTACTCTCTCTGATCTCTCTCTTTGGCCTCTTTCTGGTCTCTCTCTCAAATCTGTCGCGCTAGCTTCTCTCTTGTCTCTCTCTGGTCTCTTTTGGTGTGTGATTTATCCATGCCTTGGCTAGCTCACCAATAGTTGTTGTAAGCTAGCTCCCAGGCTGCTTCCTCCACATACATCTCTCTGAGGGAAAAACATTGGAGAATGTTACAAACCTTTGGAGAAATACTTCAATCTGTTCCAAATCAATGGTGTAATTTAAACTAATCCACGCACACGTTATTCACACTCAGTCAAATCACGAACCGTCTTCCACCGCTGGCTGCAGGTCTTCGCTGTGAGGTGTAAACATGCGTCGGGAGCAGCTGTGGGACCGAGCATCAAAGTACACATTACCATTTCATAATCACCACAACACAAACACGCACCTCTGTGGTCGGAATCACTGACATGTGGCTCCACAGGCGGAATACTGAAGCAGGAGAGAGAGTGTGAAAACTATTGTCAACACAGGAGCGTCTGTAAAGGGAAAACACAGATACAGTCTTTGTAGGTCTGATCAGGAGTCCAGGCCGGAGTCAGGACCAGAGTCAGGGCTGGAGCGAGGCCAGAGTCAGGGACGGAGTCCGGGCCAGAGTCAGGGCCGGAGTCAGGGCCGGAGTCAGGGCCGGAGTCAGGGCCGGAGTCAGGGCCGGAGTCCGGGCCAGAGTCAGGGCTGGAGCGAGGCGAGAGTCAGGGCCGGAGTCAGGGCCGGAGTCAAGGCCAGAGTCAGGGCTGGAGCGAGGCCAGAGTCAGGGCCGGAGTCAAGGCCAGAGTCAGGGCTGGAGCGAGGCCAGAGTCAGGGCCGGAGTCAGGGCCGGAGACAGGGCCAGAGTCAGGGCCGGAGTCAGGGCTGGAGCGAGGCCAGAGTCAGGGCCGGATTCAGGGCCGGAGTCAAGGCCAGAGTCAGGGCTGGAGCGAGGCCAGAGTCAGGGCCGGAGACAGGGCCAGAGTTAGGGCCGTAGTCAGGGCCAGAGTCAAGGCCGGAGTCAGGACCAGAGTCAGGGCCGTAGTCAGGGCCGGAGTCAGGGCTGGACCGAGGCCAGAGTCAGGGCCAGAGTTAGGGCCGTAGTCAGGGCCGGAGTCAGGACCAGAGTCAGGGCCAGAGTCAGGGCTGGAGCGAGGCCGGAGTCAGGGCCGGAGTCAGGGCCGGAGTCAAGGCCAGAGTCAGGGCCGGAGTCAAGGCCAGAGTCAGGGCCGGAGTCAAGGCCAGAGTCAAGGCCAGAGTCAGGGCCGGAGTCAAGGCCAGAGTCAGGGCCGGAGTCAGGGCCGGAGTCAGGGCCGGAGTCAGGGCTAGAGCGAGGCCGGAGTCAGGGCTAGAGTGAGGCCGGAGTCAGGGCCGGAGTCAAGGCCAGAGTCAAGGCCAGAGTCAAGGCCAGAGTCAGGGCCGGAGTCAAGGCCAGAGTCAGGGCCGGAGTCAGGGCCGGAGTCAGGGCCAGAGTCAGGGCCAGAATCATGGCCGGAGTCAGGGCTAGAGCGAGGCCGGAGTCAGGGCCGGAGTCAAGGCCAGAGTCAAGGCCAGAGTCAGGGCCGGAGTCAGGGCCGGAGTCAGGGCCGGAGTCAGGGCCAGAGTCAGGGCCAGAATCATGGCCGGAGTTAGCGTATGCCAATAGCAAATCTGAAAAAAATATTATAAATTTCAATTCTATTTATTCTTGCAATAGCCCTGTATGCCAACAGTATCATCTTAGAGGATTTAACAAAACCGTTGATATCACACAGATTAGAAAATCAACAGTTAAAACACAAAAACACAATTGGACCCAATGATCCCAAGTCACCTTTACTGATGACTTCTTAATGACGAGATCAGCTCTCGCTCACAGCCGTAGCATTGGACCGTACCATTTTGTCCATCAATTACACACACACACACACACACACACACACACACACACATAATACACATTCCCTGTTCTTTTCCAACGAGGCATCATAATTGGATTTCCATTCTTGTCGCAGAAAAGAAAAATCCATGGTAACCAGAATTTTCCAGATAATGAGTGTTAGGAACGGGCGAGGACTGGGAGTGGTGCTGGTGTTGGCGAGAGAACCACAATGCACCATGGGAGTTCAACCAGTAAAAGGTTAAATGGTCGCTATGTGTTTACCAAAGAAAAATCCAATCATTCAGACGAAAAAACATGGACACATGATGCTTTGTCTGTGCTTTATTTTCTTGAACCGTCTGGATCGGGTCACGGTGATGCGGTCACTGTATAGGACCACTGTGGTAAAGAGGGAGCAGCGTCTGCAGTCAGAGCTGTATCAGGCAGCTGTATCCCTCCCTCACCTCTGGTCATGGGCTTTGCGTAATAACCGAAAGAACGAGATTGTGGATACAGGTGACGAAATTATCTTCTTCACAGAGTGGCTGCTACACATGGGCGGAGCTCGGAGTAGAGCTGCTTCTTCTCCACATAGATAGATAGATAGATAGATAGATTGACAGACAGATAGACAGACAAATATATAGATTGACAGACAGACAGACAGACTTTTTCCAAAAGTTTCTGTATTTCAGTCGCCACAGTGAGATAACCACTCCCCTTTAACCACTCCCCTTTGACCACTCCCCTTTAACCACTCCCCTTTGACCACTCCCCGTTAACCCCACCCCGTTAACCCCTCCCCTTTAACCACTCCCCTTTAACCACTCCCCTTTAACCACTCCCCTTTGACCACTCCCCGTTAACCCCTCCCCTTTAACCACTCCCCTTTAACCACTCCCCTTTAACCACTCCCCTTTGACCACTCCCCTTTAACCACTCCACGTTAACCCCTCCCATTTAACCACTCCCCTTTAACCACTCCCCTTTGACCACTCCCCGTTAACCCCTCCCCGTTAACCCCTCCCCGTTAACCCCTCCCCTTTAACCACTCCCCTTTAACCACTCCCCGTTAACCCCTCCCCTTTAACCACTCTCCTCAAACAAACCCTTGCTAACCGCCGCGGGGTCCGATCCAATCAACCGCTCACAAACCCATTACAACACGTGTGGTATTAGCTCCTGTTACCATGGTGAAAATGACTGCATCTCTCTGTCTCTTCTTCTTCTTCTCTTATCCAAGCGCAGGTAATGCAGTTATGGCAGAGCGAGAGGAGGAGATAGAGAGCTCGGGTCTTCGTACCGACCACAATGAATCCCAGATTAGATTGTAAAGTGTTCACCCACTACATCGGAGGCCAGATTGAATGATACACTGTTGGGAAGTGCATGAATGGATGCACTCAGGGGGGGGAGGGAGGGGAGGGAGGGAGGGAGGGAGGGAGGGAGGGAGGGAGGAAGGGAAGGATATAAAAAGAACGTAATTTAAGTTTAGAGAGCTCGTCTTTCAAAAGAGCACAGACAATTCCACAGCGATGGAACGAGAAAACACCCAGAACACGCTACGACGAGAAGGAGGTGAGTGGAGAGAAGAGAGAGAGAGGGGGGAGGGAGGGAGAGGGGAGGGAGAGAGAGAGGGGGGGGGGGGGGAGGGGAGAGGGGGAGGGGGGGAGAGAGAGAGGGAGGGAGAGAGAGAGGGAGAGGGGAGGGATGGAGAGAGGGAGAGAAGAGAGAGAGAGGGGGGAGGGAGAGAGAGGGAGAGGGGAGGGAGAGGGGGGGAGAGAGAGAGAGAGAGGGGAGGGAGAGAGAGAGAGAGGGGAGGGAGAGAGAGGGAGGGAGAGAGAGAGGGAGAGGGGAGGGAGGGAGAGAGGGAGAGAAGAGAGAGGGGGGAGGGACAGAGAGGGAAAGGGAAGAGAGAGAGAGAGGGGGGATGGAGAGAGGGAGGGAGGGGAGTGGAGAGGGGAGAGAGAGACATACAGAAAGGTCTCTCTCTCTGACCTCTCTCTGGTCTCTCTCTCTGGTCTCTCTCTCTCTGGTCTCTCTCTCTGGTCTCTCTCTCTGACCTCTCTCTCTCTCTGGTCTCTCTCTCTGGTCTCTCTCTGACCTCTCTCTCTCTCTGGTCTCTCTCTCTGGTCTCTCTCTGTGACCTCTCTCTCTCTCTGGTCTCTCTCTGGTCTCTCTCTCTGGTCTCTCTCTGTTCTCTCTCTCTGGTCTCTCTCTATGACCTCTCTCTCTCTCTGGTCTCTCTCTGGTCTCTATCTCTGGTCTCTCTCTGGTCTCTCTCTGGTCTCTCTCTCTGGTCTCTCTCTCTGGTCTCTCTCTCTGGTCTCTCTCTCTGGTCTCTCTCTCTGGTCTCTCTCTCTGGTCTCTCTCTCTGCTCTCTCTCTGGTCTCTCTCTCTGGTCTCTCTCTCTGACCTCTCTCTCTCTCTGGTCTCTCTCTCTCTCTGGTCTCTCTCTGGTCTCTCTTTCTCTCTCTGGTCTCTCTCTGGTCTCTCTCTCTGGTCTCTCTCTCTGGTCTCTCTCTATGACCTCTCTCTCTCTCTGGTCTCTCTCTCTGGTCTCTCTCTCTGGTCTCTCTCTGGTCTCTCTCTCTGGTCTCTCTCTCTGGTCTCTCTCTCTCTGACTCTCTCTCTCTGACCTCTCTCTCTCTCTGGTCTCTCTCTCTGGTCTCTCTCTCTGGTCTCTCTCTGGTCTCTCTCTCTGACCTCTCTCTCTCTCTGGTCTCTCTCACTGGTCTCTCTCTCTCTGACCTCTCTCTCTCTTTTCTCTCTGACCTCTCTGGTCTCTCTCTCTCTGGTCTCTCTCTCTGGTCTCTCTCTGGTCTCTCTCTCTGACCTCTCTCTCTCTCTGGTCTCTCTCTCTGGTCTCTCTCTCTCTGGTCTCTCTCTCTCTGGTCTCTCTCTCTGGTCTCTCTCTCTGGTCTCTCTCTGGTCTCTCTCTCTGGTCTCTCTCTCTGACCTCTCTCTCTCTCTGGTCTCTCTTTCTCTCTCTGGTCTCTCTCTCTGGTCTCTCTCTCTGGTCTCTCTCTGGTCTCTCTCTCTGGTTTCTCTCTGGTCTTTCTCTCTGGTCTCTCTCTCTGGTCTCTCTCTGGTCTCTCTCTCTTTGGTCTCTCTCTGGTCTCTCTCTCTTTGGTCTCTCTCTGATCTCTCTCTCTTTGGTCTCTCTCTCTCCCTCTCTCTCTGACCCCTCTTTCTCTCTCTCTCTCTCTCTCTCTGGCATCTCTCTCTCTCTCCCTCTCTTTCTCTCTCTCCCTCCCTCTCTGTCTCTCTGGCTTCTCTCTCTCTCCCTCTCTTCTCTCTCTCTCTTTCTCTGGCTTCTCTCTCTCTCCCTCCCTCTCTCCCTCCCTCTCTCTCTCCCCTTTACAGCTACTATATATATATCTCTACCTATATCTGGTGTGCTCCTTGTTAACTTTCACTTGTGTCCTGTTAGTGCGCTGCAACACTGGAATGTCCCCACTGTGGGACCAGCAGGAGGCCAGTCCCTGTGCTCCTCAGAGTCCCAGCAGGAGACCAGTCCCTGTGCTCCTCAGAGTCCCAGCAGGAGGCCAGTCCCTGTGCTCCTCAGAGTCCCAGCAGGAGGCCAGTCCCTGTGCTCCTCAGAGTCCCAGCAGGAGGCCAGTCCCTGTGCTCCTCACAGTCCCAGCAGGAGGCCAGTCCCTGTGCTCCTCAGAGTCCCAGCAGGAGACCAGTCCCTGTGCTCCTCAGAGTCCCAGCAGGAGGCCAGTCCCTGTGCTCCTCAGAGTCCCAGTAGGAGTCCAGTCCCTGTGCTCCTCAGAGTCCCAGCAGGAGTCCCTGTGCTTTACAGTCTGTTGTCTGAGCCGCAGGAAGCCGGGACACTGTGATGGTACTTCCTGGTTTTATCCGGACATAACAGAGATTAGACGCCGCTTCCACCGCTGAGGTCAGAGGTTACCGTCGGTCCTGTTGAGGAAAACCTGGATTTAATGTTTCTTCAATTCAATGTATTTTTGTATCACAACAGAGGACTTTACTAAACTGTTGATTGGCCAACACAGATCAGAGAATCAAACTGTTCAAACACAAGAAACACATGGAGAGAAAACACTCAGAGACATTGGTCCATCAGAGGCAGAGACCAAAGTCCATAAATACTGATAAATACTCTAAGTGTCGAGTCTCTGGGTGTGGAGTAGATTTTAAAAGGAAGCTATTTGTTTTTGACTCCCTCTCGGTCCAAACTCTGACTGTTGCTGTATTTTCTCATTCTAAGTGAGGCATTTCTGTATCTTTTATAACAAGATCATTTTGCTTTGTCCTTTTGAAAAATCTTGCTTTAAAGTGGTTCTCACCCCCACTCCTCGGAGCTTACGTCACTCACATTTCCTTTTCAAATCTTCCACTAAATGGGCGTAGCCTGGAGGACTAAAGGGGCCGTGAACGAGACTGGGCCGTTTACATTGCTCTGGGCGGGGGGCTGCTGACGTCAGGTCTTGCTTCAGACGTCAGGTCTTGCTTCAGACGTCAGGTCTTGCTTCAGACGTCGGGTCTTGCTTCAGACGTCGGGTCTTGCTTCAGACGTCAGGTCTTGCTTCAGACGTCGGGTCTTGCTTCAGACGTCAGGTCTTGCTTCAGACGTCAGGTCTTGCTTCAGACGTCGGGTCTTGCTTCAGACGTCAGGTCTTGCTTCAGACGTCGGGTCTTGCTTCAGACGTCGGGTCTTGCTTCAGACGTCGGGTCTTGCTTCAGACGTCGGGTCTTGCTTCAGACGTCAGGTCTTGCTTCAGACGTCAGGTCTTGCTTCAGACGTCGGGTCTTGCTTCAGACGTCGGGTCTTGCTTCAGACGTCAGGTCTTGCTTCAGACGTCAGGTCTTGCTTCAGACGTCAGGTCTTGCTTCAGACGTCGGGTCTTGCTTCAGACGTCGGGTCTTGCTTCAGACGTCAGGTCTTGCTTCAGACGTCAGGTCTTGCTTCAGACGTCTGGTCTTGCTTCAGACGTCTGGTCTTGCTTCAGACGTCAGGTCTTGCTTCAGACGTCAGGTCTTGCTTCAGACGTCAGGTCTTGCTTCAGACGTCAGGTCTTGCTTCAGACGTCAGGTCTTGCTTCAGACGTCAGGTCTTGCTTCAGACGTCAGGTCTTGCTTCAGACGTCAGGTCTTGCTTCAGACGTCAGGTCTTGCTGCCGCCCCAGTGTTGGCGCCAGATTCAAAATTCAAATGTAGTAATACATGTCGCCAGCAGATGGCGCCTCACAGACGGTTTTAGGCAGAAAGTTTAACTTTCAACTAATTTGCACCAAAGTGACAAAATTATGACCAGGATATGTAGACAACACTATTGGACACTCATTTATACCGTTTATCAGCAAAAACAAATGGATTTGAGGGTGAGTTGTCCTTTAAGGCTCAGTCAAAATGTCCCAGAACTAGGACATATTTTTCAGTATTTGAGACGAGCCTGGTCTTATCCATCCGTACACTCTGCTCAGTCATCATGTCCTGAATGTGACGTCTGGGTCTGGTCCCTGTGTTTGCGATTACAATCGGTTGAATTCCATCCGACCAATCAGAGAGCGGGAAGCAGGTGTTGTTGTTAGTTGTGGGTGACGTCAAGAGTTTGCGCCGAACGGGCAGGTTGTAGTTTCGCGAAGAATGCGGTAGAACCAGACCGGAATACTTTACTATCAAGAAATTGAAGCAGGAGCAAGAGGAACGTTTAGCAAATGTAATCGCCGGCAAAGATTGGACGCCGCCTCCACAGAATCTGAGGTGAACTGGCGAGGTTCAGATGCAGCATGTGTGTTTTTCACCCCGTGTGAGTCTGATCCATATCTGACCTGAGCCTGTGGGAGAGCCGTGGACTGTTCCGGAGCCTGGGGGAGAGCCGTGGACTGTTCCGGAGCCTGGGGGAGAGCCGTGGACTGTTCCGGAGCCTGTGGGAGAGCCGTGGACTGTTCCGGAGCCAGGGGGAGAGCCGTGGACTGTTCCGGAGCCTGGGGGAGAGCCGTGGACTGTTCCGGAGCCTGGGGGAGAGCCGTGGACTGTTCCGGAGACTGTGGGAGAGCCGTGGACTGCTCCGGAGCCTGGGGGAGAGCCGTGGACTGTTCCAGAGCCTGGGGGAGAGCCGTGGACTGTTCCGGAGCCTGGGGGAGAGCCGTGGACTGTTCCGGAGCCAGGGGGAGAGCCGTGGACTGTTCCGGAGCCAGGGGGAGAGCCGTGGACTGTTCCGGAGCCTGGGGGAGAGCCGTGGACTGTTCCGGAGCCTGGGGGAGAGCCGTGGACTGTTCCGGAGCCTGGGGGAGAGCCGTGGACTGTTCCGGAGCCTGGGGGAGAGCCGTGGACTGTTCCGGAGACTGTGGGAGAGCCGTGGACTGTTCCGGAGCCTGGGGGAGAGCCGTGGATTGTTCCGGAGCCTGGGGGAGAGCCGTGGACTGTTCCGGAGCCTGGGGGAGAGCCGTGGACTGTTCCGGAGCCTGGGGGAGAGCTGTGGACTGTTCCGGAGCCTGTGGGAGAGCCGTGGACTGTTCCGGAGCCTGGGGGAGAGCCGTGGACTGTTCCGGAGCCTGGGGGAGAGCCGTGGACTGTTCCGGAGCCTGGGGGAGAGCCGTGGACTGTTCCGGAGCCTGTGGGAGAGCCGTGGACTGTTCCGGAGCCAGGGGGAGAGCCGTGGACTGTTCCGGAGCCTGGGGGAGAGCCGTGGACTGTTCCGGAGCCTGGGGGAGAGCCGTGGACTGTTCCGGAGACTGTGGGAGAGCCGTGGACTGTTCCGGAGCCTGGGGGAGAGCCGTGGATTGTTCCGGAGCCTGGGCGGTCCGTGGACTGTTCCGGAGCCTGGGGGAGAGCCGTGGACTGTTCCGGAGCCTGGGGGAGAGCCGTGGACTGTTCCGGAGCCTGGGGGAGAGCTGTGGACTGTTCCGGAGCCTGTGGGAGAGCCGTGGACTGTTCCGGAGCCTGGGGGAGAGCCGTGGACTGTTCCGGATCCTGTGGGAGAGCCGTGGACTGTTCAGGAGCCTGGGGGAGAGCCGTGGACTGTTCCGGAGCCTGGGGGAGAGCCGTGGACTGTTCCGGAGCCTGGGGGAGAGCCGTGGACTGTTCCGGAGCCTGGGCGGTCCGTGGACTGTTCCGGAGCCTGGGGGAGAGCCTTGGACTGTTCCGGAGCCTGGGGGAGAGCCGTGGACTGTTCCGGAGCCTGTGGGGAGAGCCGTGGACTGTTCCGGAGCCTGGGGGAGAGCCGTGGACTGTTCCGGAGCCTGTGGGAGAGCCGTGGACTGTTCCGGAGCCAGGGGGAGAGCCGTGGACTGTTCCGGAGCCTGGGGGAGAGCCGTGGACTGTTCCGGAGCCTGGGGGAGAGCCGTGGACTGTTCCGGAGACTGTGGGAGAGCCGTGGACTGTTCCGGAGCCTGGGGGAGAGCCGTGGATTGTTCCGGAGCCTGGGCGGTCCGTGGACTGTTCCGGAGCCTGGGGGAGAGCCGTGGACTGTTCCGGAGCCTGGGGGAGAGCCGTGGACTGTTCCGGAGCCTGGGGGAGAGCTGTGGACTGTTCCGGAGCCTGTGGGAGAGCCGTGGACTGTTCCGGAGCCTGGGGGAGAGCCGTGGACTGTTCCGGATCCTGTGGGAGAGCCGTGGACTGTTCAGGAGCCTGGGGGAGAGCCGTGGACTGTTCCGGAGCCTGGGGGAGAGCCGTGGACTGTTCCGGAGCCTGGGGGAGAGCCGTGGACTGTTCCGGAGCCTGGGCGGTCCGTGGACTGTTCCGGAGCCTGGGGGAGAGCCTTGGACTGTTCCGGATCCTGTGGGAGAGCCGTGGACTGTTCAGGAGCCTGGGGGAGAGCCGTGGACTGTTCCGGAGCCTGGGGGAGAGCCGTGGACTGTTCCGGAGCCTGGCCGGTCCGTGGACTGTTCCGGAGCCTGGGCGGTCCGTGGACTGTTCCGGAGCCTGGTGGAGAGCCGTGGACTGTTCCGGAGCCTGGGGGAGAGCCGTGGACTGTTCCGGAGCCTGTGGGGAGAGCCGTGGACTGTTCCGGAGCCTGGGGGAGAGCCGTGGACTGTTCCGGAGCCTGTGGGAGAGCCGTGGACTGTTCCGGAGCCTGGGCGGTCCGTGGACTGTTCCGGAGCCTGGGGGAGAGCCGTGGACTGTTCCGGATCCTGTGGGAGAGCCGTGGACTGTTCCGGAGCCTGGGGGAGAGCCGTGGACTGTTCCGGAGCCTGTGGGAGAGCCGTGGACTGTTCCGGAGCCTGGGGGAGAGCCGTGGACTGTTCCGGAGCCTGGGCGGTCCGTGGACGTCCACAGCTCGCGGACTCCACCTTCCTTCAGTTCATCTCAGCTTCACATCAGACTTTAAACCGATTTTCAGACCAAACTCTTGGACCACAGCACTTTTCACTACGTTTTCTAACTTATGTTCTGTGTTTGAATGAAAAAAAGAGAGAAAATCCTTGTAGAAAACTGACTTGTCAAACTTATTTATGTACAGTATATATTTGTTACTTTTTAATATTCATAATGCGTTTGGTTTTATAGAGCGCTTTTCAGGACACTCAAAGGTCTCTCTTTTGTCTCTCTCTAGTCTCTCTCTGGTCTCTCTCTGGTCTCTCTCTTTGGCCTCTCTCTCTGGTCTCTCTCTGGTCTCTCTCTGGTCTCTCTCTGGTCTCTCTCTCTGGTCTCTCTCTCTGGTCTCTCTCTGGTCTCTCTCTAGTCTCTCGCTGGTCTCTCTGGTCTCTCTCTGGTCTCTCTGGTCTCTCTCTGGTCTCTCTCTGGTCTCTCTGGTCTCTCTCTGGTCTCTCTCTGGTCTCTCTCTGGTCTCTCTCTGGTCTCTCTCTCTGGTCTCTCTCTCTGGTCTCTCTCTGGTCTCTCTCTAGTCTCTCTCTGGTCTCTCTGGTCTCTCTCTGGTCTCTCTGGTCTCTCTCTGGTCTCTCTGGTCTCTCTCTGGTCTCTCTGGTCTCTCTCTGGTCTCTCTCTAGTCTCTCTCTAGTCTCTCTCTGGTCTCTCTCTAGTCTCTCTCTAGTCTCTCTCTGGTCTCTCTCTAGTCTCTCTCTGGTCTCTCTCAGATTGGTTTTTGACCTCTGCAGTGTCCCATAAGAGTCCTTGTGTTGCTGTGTGTGTGTTGCTGTGTGTGTGTTGCTGTGTGTGTGTGTAGTCAGAGGACTTGAGCCTCCTCTGCTCTGAGGCGTGTTGTGTGAAATCACTGTTTTTCAGTCGCTTTGTTTGTCACGGACTCTTCTCGATGTCAAACTATTTTTTTATTTTATATTTTCTCATGATACGTTTTAATTAATAAAAACACAAAAACACAAACTAATACTTTAAAATGGTTTGAGAAAAGTATTTTCATTTTAATAACACCAACATATTTACTTTTCCAGAGAGAGAACAGAGAGAGACCAGAGAGAGAGACCAGAGAGCGACCAGAGAGAGACCAGAGAGAGAGACCAGAGAGAGAGACCAGAGAGAGACCAGAGAGAGAGACCAGAGAGAGACCAGAGAGAGACCAGAGAGAGAGACCAGAGAGAGAGACCAGAGAGAGACCAGAGAGAGACCAGAGAGAGACCAGAGAGAGACCAGAGAGAGAGACCAGAGAGATACCAGAGAGAGAGACCAGAGAGAGACCAGAGAAAGACCAGAGTGAGACCAGAGAGAGAGACCAGAGAGAGACCAGAGAGAGACCAGAGAGAGACCAGAGAGAGACCAGGGAGACCAGAGAGAGAGACCAGAGAGAGACCAGAGAGAGACCAGAGAGAGACCAGAGAAAGGTTAGAGAGAGACCAGAGAGAGACCAGAGAGAGAGACCAGAGAGAGACCAGAGAGAGAGACCAGAGAGAGAGACCAGAGAGAGACCAGAGAGACCAGAGAGAGACCAGAGAGAGACCAGAGAGAGAGACCAGAGAGAGACCAGAGAGAGACCAGAAAGAGTCAGTATAGTTCAGTGGATCCAGAGACAGAATGAAGATGGATGTATTTATCGGAGAATCATTAGCGCTGAGCCAGATGGCGGCGAGACGTAACCGTGTGAAATGATGGCGTTCTGCTGCCAAGAAACGGTGGGAAATTAATTTATGTGATTACAGATCAAATACTGAAAATGTTAAATGAGAAAAAGTGGTTATTTTTAAACAAATGATTAGAAAAATTACTGTTTTTTAACGTGGCTTTTTGTCAGAGAAGATGAATCATGAGTCTTTGTTCCACTGATAGATTAGCTTAGCATTAGCTTAGCATTAGCGTAGCATTAGCGTAGCATTAGCTTAGCATTAGCGTAGCATTAACCTAGCGTTAGCTTCTTATTAGCTTGTCATGCGCTATCCCAAGTCTGTGTCTTTATTGACAATACATTTGATTTGACAAATTGCAGAGTAGAGTAAGATTGATTGTTGAAAAATACAAGAAAATATAAAAATGAACCATGGAAGAATCTGAAATTATTGCTCCTTTTCTTTTAGTAAATAAAATAATGATTGTGTTTTAATAGAAAAAAGCTGAAATCTATTTTTATATTTTAGGATAAAAAAAATCCTATTGAAGCTTGAGTCTTATTTAAGTTTTCTGATCAATTTAAACGGGTTAAAAGATTTCAGATTTTTTGATGGTTTTGTTTTTAGAATCTTAGAGTTTTGACTTCTCTGGTCCCTCTGATCCCTCTGTTCTCTCTCTGGTCTCTCTCTGGTCTCCTCTGGTTCCTCTGGTCCCTCTGGTATCGTCTGCAGTCACACCTGGTCTCTCTGGTGTCGTCTGCAGTCACACCTGGTCTCTCTGGTGTCGTCTGCAGTCACACCTGGTCCCTCTGGTGTCGTCTGCAGTCACACCTGGTCTCTCTGGTGTCGTCTGCAGTCACACCTGGTCCCTCTGGTGTCGTCTGCAGTCACACCTGGTCTCTCTGGTGTCGTCTGCAGTCACACCTGGTCTCTCTGCAGTCACACCTGGTTTCTCTGGTGTCGTCTGCAGTCACACCTGGTCTCTCTGCAGTCACACCTGGTTTCTCTGGTGTCGTCTGCAGTCACACCTTGTCCCTCTGGTGTCGTCTGCAGTCACACCTGGTCCCTCTGGTGTCGTCTGCAGTCAAACCTGGTCTCTCTGGTGTCGTCTGCAGTCACACCTGGTCCCTCTGGTGTCGTCTGCAGTCACACCTGGTCCCTCTGGTGTCGTCTGCAGTCAAACCTGGTCTCTCTGGTGTCGTCTGCAGTCACACCTGGTCCCTCTGGTGTCGTCTGCAGTCACACCTGGTCTCTCTGGTGTCGTCTGCAGTCACACCTGGTCCCTCTGGTGTCGTCTGCAGTCACACCTGGTCCCTCTGGTGTCGTCTGCAGTCACACCTGGTCTCTCTGGTGTCGTCTGCAGTCACACCTGGTCCCTCTGGTGTCGTCTGCAGTCACACCTGGTCTCTCTGGTGTCGTCTGCAGTCACACCTGGTCTCTCTGCAGTCACACCTGGTTTCTCTGGTGTCGTCTGCAGTCACACCTTGTCCCTCTGGTGTCGTCTGCAGTCACACCTGGTCCCTCTGGTGTTGTCTGCAGTCAAACCTGGTCTCTCTGGTGTCGTCTGCAGTCACACCTGGTCCCTCTGGTGTCGTCTGCAGTCACACCTGGTCTCTCTGGTGTCGTCTGCAGTCACACCTGGTCCCTCTGGTGTCGTCTGCAGTCAGACCTGGTCTCTCTGGTGTCGTCTGCAGTCACACCTGGTCTCTCTGGTGTCGTCTGCAGTCACACCTGGTCCCTCTGGTGTCGTCTGCAGTCACACCTGGTCTCTCTGGTGTCGTCTGCAGTCACACCTGGTCTCTCTGGTGTCGTCTGCAGTCACACCTGGTCTCTCTGCAGTCACACCTGGTTTCTCTGGTGTCGTCTGCAGTCACACCTGGTCTCTCTGGTGTCGTCTGCAGGCACACCTGGTCTCTCTGGTATCGTCTGCAGTCACATCTGGTCCCTCTGGTGTCGTCTGCAGTCACACCTGGTCTCTCTGGTGTCGTCTGCAGTCACACCTGGTCTCTCTGGTGTCGTCTGCAGTCACACCTGGTCCCTCTGGTGTCGTCTGCAGTCACATCTGGTCCTATTTGTCCACATCTCATGTAATCACAGAGATATTAGAATGGAGTAAATCAGGACATAATCCTGTTTGAGGATTACTGTAAAACTGAGACAGAGGAAAAACTGAGCACAGGTACAAACACCTGCTGCTGGTCCAGAAACAAATACACACCATGTGACTTAGAGGAGACTTCTTCAGCTGGTTACAAGTTATTAAGTACAAGTAAGTACAAGTCAGTAAGGGTCACCATAAGGAGGCACATGTCAGACCTGTTGTGCATGTGTTTAGTGGTAGGGTAAACCGGAGCACCTGGAGGAAACCTACACAGACAGTAGGTTTGATATGTTAAAAGAAAGATTTAAAATGTATAGTTGGCGTTCTTCTTCTTCTTCTTCTCTCTCGTGTGTCTGGTCCTCATCTGTATTCTCGCCCGGGTCCATTCCAAAACCAGTGCTGGTCTCGGTCTTGGTCTTGGTCTTGGTCTTGGTCTTGGTCTCGGTCTCGGTCTCGGGTCGCGGTCTCGGCTTCATTATAAACCTCCGTTATCACTTTGGAGTGTGTTTGCCGCCTGTGTTTAAGCAGCGTAATTGTCTGTCAGCGGGTGACGAGCTGAGGAGTTAATTACCTTCTGCTTTGGTGTGGGAGAGGGGGGGGGGGGGGGTGAGGGAGGGTGAGGGAGGGAGGGGAGGGAGGGAGGGAGGGAGGGAGGGTGAGGGAGGGAGGGAGGGGGGGGGGTGCAGGTGAGAGAAACAGAGACAGGTGCCGAGGTCTGTGCCAAGGGTCGGAGAGATTGGATGTTGGTTTGATTTTATTCAGATCCTTTTAACTGCTGATATATAGAGAGAGACCAGAGAGAAAGATACCAGAGAGAGACCAGAGAGAGACCAGAGAGAGACCAGAGAGAGAGACCAAAGAGAGACCAGAGAGAGACCAGAGAGAGACCAGAAAGAGATCAAAGCAAGGCCAGAGAGAGAGAGATGCTCCGCTCCAGATGGATTGAGTCCACTGTAGTCCTGAAGGGGAGACTGTAGAATCCGGTTTGGCCTCAAAGAAACATTTATGGCATTTTTAAACGTTTTTTTCTCAGAGCTGGTGTTTGTGGCCTTCATTACATTTCCACAACGGCTTTGAAAAGAAAAACACCATTCTCTCTGTGGTTGTTTTGGGCCATACTTTCAGCCTAACTCTGCTTTAGACCAATGGCAGCTGGAAAACCATATTTGACGGAGGCAGAATCGATGGTTCCATTTCTGGTGTTTGGGGCTGATGTACGGTGACATGTTGTTGTTCTGGTGAAAGGCAGAGTATCCACGGCTATTTTCACAAACGCCGCTAAAAGCATCGGTTTCTTTGTCGGAGAAATACAACCTTCGAGGAAATCGTAAACTCCATTCTGACGGAGCATTAAGAGCCATCAGTCGGCCATCTTGTTTTATTAGATTGTAAAAAAAACATCTTCATGTCTGGTCTCTCTCTGACAGACACTGGTTCTTTCTGACAGACACTGGTTCTTTCTGACAGACACTGGTTCTCTCTGACAGACACTGGTTCTCTCTGACAGACACTGGTTCTCTCTGACAGACACTGGTTCTCTCTGACAGACGCTGGTTCTCTCTGACAGACACTGGTTCTCTCTGACAGACACTGGTTCTCTCTGACAGACACTGGTTCTCTCTGACAGACGCTGGTTCTCTCTGACAGACACTGGTTCTCTCTGACAGACACTGGTTCTCTCTGACAGACACTGGTTCTCTCTGACAGACACTGGTTCTCTCTGACAGACGCTGGTTCTCTCTGACAGACACTGGTTCTTTCTGACAGACACTGGTTCTTTCTGACAGACACTGGTTCTCTCTGACAGACACTGGTTCTCTCCGACAGACACTGGTTCTCTCTGACAGACACTGGTTCTTTCTGACAGACACTGGTTCTTTCTGACAGACACTGGTTCTTTCTGACAGACACTGGTTCTTTCTGACAGACACTGGTTCTCTCTGACAGACACTGGTTCTCTCTGACAGACACTGGTTCTCTCTGACAGACACTGGTTCTCTCTGACAGACACTGGTTCTTTCTGACAGACACTGGTTCTCTCTGACAGACACTGGTTCTCTCTGACAGACACTGGTTCTCTCTGACAGACACTGGTTCTTTCTGACAGACACTGGTTCTCTCTGACAGACACTGGTTCTCTCTGACAGACACTGGTTCTCTCTGACAGACACTGGTTCTTTCTGACAGACGCTGGTTCTCTCTGACAGACACTGGTTCTCTCTGACAGACACTGGTTCTCTCTGACAGACACTGGTTCTTTCTGACAGACGCTGGTTCTCTCTGACAGACACTGGTTCTCTCTGACAGACACTGGTTCTCTCTGACAGACGCTGGTTCTCTCTGACAGACACTGGTTCTCTCTGACAGACACTGGTTCTCTCTGACAGACGCTGGTTCTCTCTGACAGACACTGGTTCTCTCTGACGGACACTGGTTCTCTCTGACAGACACTGGTTCTCGCTGACAGACACTGGTTCTCTCTGACAGACGCTGGTTCTCTCTGACAGACACTGGTTCTCTCTGACAGACACTGGTTCTCTCTGACGGACACTGGTTCTCTCTGACAGACACTGGTTCTCTCTGACAGACACTGGTTCTCTCTGACAGACACTGGTTCTCTCTGACAGACACTGGTTCTCTCTGACAGACACTGGTTCTCTCTGACAGACACTGGTTCTCTCTGACAGACACTGGTTCTTTCTGACAGACGCTGGTTCTCTCTGACAGACACTGGTTCTCTCTGACGGACACTGGTTCTCTCTGACAGACAGTGGTTCTCTCTGACAGACACTGGTTCTCTCTGACAGACACTGGTTCTCTCTGACGGACACTGGTTCTCTCTGACAGACACTGGTTCTCTCTGACAGACACTGGTTCTTTCTGACAGACACTGGTTCTCTCTGACAGACACTGGTTCTCTCTGACGGACACTGGTTCTCTCTGACAGACACTGGTTCTCTCTGACAGACACTGGTTCTTTCTGACAGACACTGGTTCTCTCTGACAGACACTGGTTCTCTCTGACAGACACTGGTTCTCTCTGACAGACACTGGTTCTCTCTGACAGACACTGGTTCTTTCTGACAGACACTGGTTCTCTCTGACAGACACTGGTTCTCTCTGACAGACACTGGTTCTCTCTGACAGACACTGGTTCTCTCTGACAGACACTGGTTCTTTCTGACAGACACTGGTTCTCTCTGACAGACACTGGTTCTCTCTGACAGACACTGGTTCTCTCTGACAGACACTGGTTCTCTCTGACAGACACTGGTTCTTTCTGACAGACACTGGTTCTCTCTGACAGACACTGGTTCTCTCTGACAGACACTGGTTCTCTCTGACAGACACTGGTTCTCTCTGACAGACACTGGTTCTTTCTGACAGACACTGGTTCTCTCTGACAGACACTGGTTCTTTCTGACAGACACTGGTTCTCTCTGACGGACACTGGTTCTTTCTGACAGACACTGGTTCTTTCTGACAGACACTGGTTCTTTCTGACAGACACTGGTTCTCTCTGACAGACGCTGGTTCTCTCTGACAGACAGTGGTTCTCTCTGACAGACACTGGTTCTTTCTGACAGACACTGGTTCTCTCTGACAGACACTGGTTCTCTCTGACAGACACTGGTTCTCTCTGACAGACACTGGTTCTTTCTGACAGACGCTGGTTCTCTCTGACAGACACTGGTTCTCTCTGACGGACACTGGTTCTCTCTGACAGACACTGGTTCTCTCTGACAGACACTGGTTCTCTCTGACAGACACTGGTTCTCTCTGACGGACACTGGTTCTCTCTGACAGACACTGGTTCTCTCTGACAGACACTGGTTCTTTCTGACAGACACTGGTTCTCTCTGACAGACACTGGTTCTCTCTGACAGACACTGGTTCTCTCTGACAGACACTGGTTCTCTCTGACAGACACTGGTTCTTTCTGACAGACACTGGTTCTCTCTGACAGACACTGGTTCTCTCTGACAGACACTGGTTCTCTCTGACAGACACTGGTTCTCTCTGACAGACACTGGTTCTTTCTGACAGACACTGGTTTTCTCTGACAGACACTGGTTCTCTCTGACAGACACTGGTTCTCTCTGACAGACACTGGTTCTCTCTGACAGACACTGGTTCTTTCTGACAGACACTGGTTCTCTCTGACAGACACTGGTTCTCTCTGACAGACACTGGTTCTTTCTGACAGACACTGGTTCTCTCTGACAGACACTGGTTCTTTCTGACAGACACTGGTTCTCTCTGACGGACACTGGTTCTTTCTGACAGACACTGGTTCTTTCTGACAGACACTGGTTCTTTCTGACAGACACTGGTTCTTTCTGACAGACACTGGTTCTCTCTGACAGACAGTGGTTCTCTCTGACAGACACTGGTTCTTTCTGACAGACACTGGTTCTCTCTGACAGACACTGGTTCTTTCTGACAGACACTGGTTCTCTCTGACAGACACTGGTTCTCTCTGACAGACACTGGTTCTCTCTGACAGACACTGGTTCTCTCTGACAGACACTGGTTCTTTCTGACAGACACTGGTTCTCTCTGACAGACACTGGTTCTTTCTGACAGACACTGGTTCTCTCTGACGGACACTGGTTCTTTCTGACAGACACTGGTTCTTTCTGACAGACACTGGTTCTTTCTGACAGACACTGGTTCTCTCTGACAGACGCTGGTTCTCTCTGACAGACAGTGGTTCTCTCTGACAGACACTGGTTCTTTCTGACAGACACTGGTTCTCTCTGACAGACACTGGTTCTCTCTGACAGACACGGACACTGGTTCTCTCTGACAGACACTGGTTCTTTCTGACAGACGCTGGTTCTCTCTGACAGACACTGGTTCTCTCTGACGGACACTGGTTCTCTCTGACAGACACTGGTTCTCTCTGACAGACACTGGTTCTCTCTGACAGACACTGGTTCTCTCTGACGGACACTGGTTCTCTCTGACAGACACTGGTTCTCTCTGACAGACACTGGTTCTTTCTGACAGACACTGGTTCTCTCTGACAGACACTGGTTCTCTCTGACAGACACTGGTTCTCTCTGACAGACACTGGTTCTCTCTGACAGACACTGGTTCTTTCTGACAGACACTGGTTCTCTCTGACAGACACTGGTTCTCTCTGACAGACACTGGTTCTCTCTGACAGACACTGGTTCTCTCTGACAGACACTGGTTCTTTCTGACAGACACTGGTTTTCTCTGACAGACACTGGTTCTCTCTGACAGACACTGGTTCTCTCTGACAGACACTGGTTCTCTCTGACAGACACTGGTTCTTTCTGACAGACACTGGTTCTCTCTGACAGACACTGGTTCTCTCTGACAGACACTGGTTCTCTCTGACAGACACTGGTTCTCTCTGACAGACACTGGTTCTTTCTGACAGACACTGGTTCTCTCTGACAGACACTGGTTCTTTCTGACAGACACTGGTTCTCTCTGACGGACACTGGTTCTTTCTGACAGACACTGGTTCTTTCTGACAGACACTGGTTCTTTCTGACAGACACTGGTTCTCTCTGACAGACAGTGGTTCTCTCTGACAGACACTGGTTCTTTCTGACAGACACTGGTTCTCTCTGACAGACACTGGTTCTCTCTGACAGACACTGGTTCTCTCTGACAGACACTGGTTCTCTCTGACAGACACTGGTTCTTTCTGACAGACACTGGTTCTCTCTGACAGACACTGGTTCTCTCTGACAGACACTGGTTCTCTCTGACAGACACTGGTTCTCTCTGACAGACACTGGTTCTTTCTGACAGACACTGGTTCTCTCTGACAGACACTGGTTCTTTCTGACAGACACTGGTTCTCTCTGACGGACACTGGTTCTTTCTGACAGACACTGGTTCTTTCTGACAGACACTGGTTCTTTCTGACAGACACTGGTTCTTTCTGACAGACACTGGTTCTCTCTGACAGACAGTGGTTCTCTCTGACAGACACTGGTTCTTTCTGACAGACACTGGTTCTCTCTGACAGACACTGGTTCTCTCTGACAGACACTGGTTCTTTCTGACAGACACTGGTTCTGTCAGAAACGACTTGATCCTAGTTTAAAAACAGAGGCTGAGATCTCTGAGATGAATCCGTCTCTCTGCTCTGTGCCATATGTGTGGGCTTTACCTTCCATTATCTCCGTGGCGACCACCCCTCCACGCCGCGGCGAGCAGAAGGCCGTGGAAAGCGCTCAATATGTTTCTGCAATCCCCATCGATCGGAGCGTGTAGCGGAGGCCCAGCACGGCGCCACCACAACGGCGAGATAAGGCTCTTGTATCAGAGTTTCAGGGCGTTTAACAGCAACATGTGAGAATCTGAAGGAACCGCGGAAAAAAAGATCAAAGAGTTAAGCCACAGGTTTAGAATAATCTCCATTCACCCTGTCATAATCCAACTGATGTGAGCCAAGGTGTGCCATTCTATACAGTTCTATACAGTTCTATGTATATTATAGCCATGAATCACAACAGTAGTTACCTCAGAGGACATTACAAAGCTGTTGATTCGCCGACACAGATCAGAAAATCAGTTCAAAGCCACAAAATGCAACAATAACAAACACATAGAGCCCTGGGTCCATAAATGTGTCTCCACTGTCCTTAGACCCTTCTGTGTCGGTTTGTTCAGTGGATTTGTGTTAATAAAAATTGCAAGAAGCCATAACAACAACAACAACTTATTCTTGTACAGCCCTAAATCACAACAGCATCCTCTCAGAGACTTAACAAAACCATTGAACTCACCAACACAGGTCAGAGAATCAACAGTTAAAACACCAAATATAAACATAAGTATTAGTCTGTAAGGAGAGACCAACGTCCATGAGTGTTGATAAATGTCACACATGTAGAATGTTAAAGTGTCTGGATCCTCACAGTCCTTCTTGTTGGACACTAACTGCCCAACAGACCCTCCTGCATCAGAGGAACAACTCACAAAAACCCAGTGGGAAAAAAAAGAGACCCACATATTGAGAAAGGGATCCGCTCCCATGGACGGACGGGCTAGATCCAGGACCTAAGCTACAGAACGTGGACAGGTCCGGTGCAGGACTGAGGCACTCCCAGGCGGGTCGGGCGGGGCAGTCCGCAGGTGTAGATGGAGGAGGCCAGGCTCAGAGGTCCCATTGTCGCGCCATGAAACAGACAATGGGACAACGGGTGAATAGCAATGAACAGACTACAGGCATAAAAACAGCTCCAAAGTAAAAGTAGCAGTTTGCTTATTTTGAGATTCATAACTCTAGTCAGTCCTTTCCACAGTGTCCATTGGGCGGCACGGTGGCTGAGTGGATAGCACTCTCGCCTCTCAGCAAGAAGGTCCTGGGTTCGAATCCCGGTCGGACCAGGGCCTTTCTGAGTGGAGTTTGCATGTTCTCCCCGGGTACTCCGGTTTCCCCTACCACTAAAAATATGTCCAATAGTTCTGGCATATGCCTCCTGTACTGGCCCCGCTCCCATCTCTGTGTGGAGTGGGAGACAAATGCCCAAAATTAACAATTGTAAACCGCTTTGAGACTCAGATCTGCAGTGAAAAGGCGGTATATAAATAAAAACTTACTTACTAACTTACTTACAAAGTTATTATTGGAGGAATCTAGATGCAGGTTTTTCTACTTCATTCTTTGACAGCGCCTCTAGGCAGAGTTCTGTGCTCTACGAGTGCTTTCCTTGTTGGTTCTTTGCTTCATGATTGGAGAATAGTCCTTTCCTCAGATTCACCAAACCCTCTCCGCTGATTCTCTTCATGGATATCCTTGTTTCTCCCCCGTACGCAGCAGACCTCGCAGGTTCAGAGTTGTAGCTGTTTGCTAACGCGCCGCACACACCGCTAACCTCCGCGGCGCCGTGTCCGCTCCCATAATGAGGCGTGACATCACAGCTCGCCGCGCTCGGTAATGGAGGTCTCCCCTGATCGCTCCTTAAATATTCATGCCTCCGTCGCCGCTGCTTTGTTTACAGCCCAGCGACACACTTCACCTCCGCTCACTCCGCCGGAAATAACAGCGGATTAAAATTTCACTACTTGAACCGGAGCGGCGGCGTTAACCACGGCGTCTGGAGCGCTCGGGGTCAGAGAGGCCGCCGTCGTGCGTTTATTGGTTTTTTTGTGAATGAGTTTTGGTTTCACTCTGCTGCAGGAGAGACGGGAATGATCTTTAAAGGTTCACTGTGTCTGGCTTTGAGAGAAAGGCAAGGCAAGTTTATCTGTATAGCACAGTTCATACACAAGGCAACTCCAAGTGCTAAAGAAAATAAGATCAAAATCATCAATAATCACAGAACATTAAAAAGAAAGATAAAAATATAAAATCCCTCAGTTGTAGCACAGCTAAACAGAACTGTCTTTAACCTGGTTTTAAACATAGTCAGAGAGGAGGCCTGTCTCACTTCTTCAGGAAGACTGTTCCAGATTTTAGCAGCATGAATCTGAAAAGCAGCCTCCCCATGTTTAGTTCTGACTCTGGGCACTAACAGGAGTCCAGTCCCTGTGCTCCTCAGAGTCCTGGCTGGAGTCCAGTCCCTGTGCTCCTCAGAGTCCAGCAGGAGTCCAGTACCTGTGCTCCTCAGAGTCCCATCAGGAGTCCAGTACCTGTGCTCCTCAGAGGCCAGTCCCTGCGCTCTCCAAACCATAAAATCCTTGTATTTGTCTCTGATTCTTTCCTGTTTCACTTCAGTCTTGTGTCATTGAGACTTCCCCTTTAATGAAGAGTCCGGGGGTTTGCGGCCCCTTCCGTCCGGGCGCAGGAGACGAGCGGCGGGGGAACAGTTTGTCTTTGAGCCTCAGGCAAACGCTCGACTTGTAAAAAAGTCAATGTTAAAAATAACTGTGGACAGAACTGAATGTGTCGACTCAGCACTTTACTCCCACAGTTTGAGACGGATTCTGGGCCAAATGGAAATGGGATGTGACCCGATGGAAACATGGAAACACACGGACCAGAGCTTACGAAGGTCTAGAGGAGGATTTTGTTTTTCCGGGTGGATCTATGGGTCCTAAATGTCAATCATTCTGGTGATCGTGTGTTTTTGATGTGTGTAATCGGAGTCGCTCCAAATGAAAAAACATTTGAAGCAAAAACAAATGTGGCCTTTTTAAGAATATTTACCTCGGCCATGTTTTGGAATTGTTTTAATTCCCTTTTTCCAAAGACCAAAGACCAGGAGAGTGCGCATGCGCTGAGCAAGCAGCAAGTCTGAAGTAGCTCCGGATATTTTGTCGTGTTTGTCGTTGTTTTTCACTGTTTTTAGAGCCTGTCATGTGTAAACTCGTCTACAGCAGGGATGATCTCCTTGTGCTACGAAAGTCTGGACACGGAATGAAACACCCGATTCCTCGGGAGATTAAAAAACCTTTCCGAGGCAACCGTGCGGGTGCCAGGCTAAAGGCTAAGAAGCGGAGATTCAAGCCGGCGGTGCCGTCGATTATGATGGGTAACGCCAACTCCTATCATAACAAATGTGATGAGCTCGCGGCGCTTGTCAACTATCAGCGAGAGTTCCGTGAGAGCAGTCTTCTCTGTCTAACGGAGACTTGGCTCACGGATGTAATACCGGACATTGCTGTGGAGCTTCCTGGCTTTACCTTGGTGCGTGCTGACAGGGACGTGAAATCGAGTGGGAAAAGCAAAGGCGGGGGTCTTGCAATTTTTGTGAACAATAGATGGTGTCATCCCGGACATATTTCTGCTAAGGAAAGACTATGTTGTAAAGACATTGAACTACTGGCAGTCGGATTACGTCCATATTATGTTCCGAGGGAATTCAACAGCATCGTCGCCATCATTGTTTACATCCCCCCAAGAGCGGAGCCGGCAGCAGCGTGTGACGTCATACACGATACTGTCGTGAGATTGCAAACACTACACCCAGATGCTCTTTTTGTTATTTCAGGTGATTTTAACCATGTGAACATTGCCCCCCATTTGACTGGATTCACACAATATGTGGACTGTCCCACAAGGGAGCAGAAAACTTTGGACTTGTGCTTTGTTAATGTCAAAGAGGCCTACACTGTTTCTGCACTTCCACCTCTTGGTAAATCTGACCACAACATGGTTTACCTGAGACCTGTATACAAGCCTTGTGTAATGACTCAGCCTGTAACAACTCGGACATTCAGGAAGTGGACGTCAGAGGCCAGTGAATCCCTGAGAGCCTGTTTTGAATGCACCGACTGGAGTGTTATCCAGGATCTACAGGACAACAATGGAAGGACAACCACTGACTTTGACATTGACAGAATAGAGGGATGCACAACAGACTATATAAACTTTTGCACAGATATTGCCCTGCCCCTAATCACTGTCAGGTGCTTTCCTAACAACAAACCTTGGATCACGGCAGACGTGAAGCATCTTCTAAATGAAAAGAAGAGGGTGTTTGGTGACAAGGGAAAGCGAAGGGAGATACAGCGGGAGGTGAAAAGGAGTTTAAGAAAGTCCAAGCTGAACTACAAACGGAAGCTGGAGAGAAGGTTAAAGGCTAATAACATCAAAGAAGTGTGGAGAGGAATGCAAAAGATCACGGGAATGAAAGGAAGACAGAGCTTACCAGCTGGTGACAGGGATCGTGCAAATGAGTTCAATCGGTTTTATAACAGACACAATGTAACATCCTCATCCTCCCTCACCCCTGCCCCTTTCCTATCCCCCCCTCCACCCTCTCCCGACCATTCCTTCCTCCAGGCTCCCTCTGTTTCCTCACCGCTCCCATCTGTGACTGCTGATGAGGTGAAAAAACAACTGCAGAAGCTACACCCCTGCAAAGGTCCTGGACCAGACGGTGTGAGTCCGCGTTTATTGAAGGACTGTGCGGAGCAGCTTGCGGCGCCGCTCCAGACACTCTACAACTTCAGTCTTCAGTCTGGCAGAGTCCCTGATCTGTGGAAGACATCCTGTCTCGTCCCTGTGCCAAAAGAAGCGCGGGCTACAGAGTTAAAGAACTTCAGACCAGTGGCTTTGACCTCCCACATTATGAAGACACTGGAGCGGCTCGTCCTGCACCTTCTCAGGCCTCAGGTACATCACGCACAAGACTCACTCCAGTTTGCCTATCAGGAGGCTATCGGAGTGGATGATGCCATCCTGTATTTGCTGCACCGGACCTACTCCCTCCTGGATCAATCTGGTGGATATGTGAGGATAATGTTCTTTGATTTTTCTAGTGCATTCGACACAATTCAACCAGACATCCTCAAACAAAAGCTGGAGAGGTTAGGGGTTGACCGGATCTTCATCACGCGGATCCATAACTATCTGACGGGCCGGCCTCAGTGCGTGAGGCTTGGCCACACCACTTCGGATTATGTCGTGAGTAATGTTGGGGCTCCACAAGGAACGGTTCTTGCTCCTTTTCTCTTTACCATCTATACATCTGACTTCAAGTACCACTCTGACACTTGTCATGTTCAGAAGTACTCGGATGACACAGCCATTGTGGCCTATGTCAGAAATAACCAGGAAGAGGAGTACAGGAACTTGATCACTGCATTCTGTGATTGGAGCACCAAGAACTCACTCACTCTGAACACTAACAAGACCAAAGAAATGACTATCTACTTTGGCAAGAAAAAGAACACTTTACAGCCAATAAATATTCATGGACAGGACATCGAACGCGTGCACACATACAAATATCTAGGTGTTCACCTGGATGATAAATTGGACTGGAACATCAACACAGAGGCGCTCTACAAAAGGGGTCAGACCAGGCTCTTTTTTCTGAGGAGGCTAAAGTCCTTTGATGTGTGTAATCAAATCAGAATCAGAATCAGAATCAGAATCATTTTTATTGCCACGTGAGTAACAAAGTTATCACTTGGAAATTGTTTTGGCAGAGAGCGTGCCACTTCGCCATTTGCGGCGCTGTGTGCAGCAAGAAACAGCAGAGAGCAATAACATACAGTTCACAAACAATTGGATAGACACATTGTGCTTTTTATAAACCACGGATTTTTTTCTCGGGAAGAGCACCTCTTCGGCCGGCCCAATGTAGCTGTCAGAGGGGGGCGGGATCAGGGAGGGGGTGAGTAGGAAAACAATAAGGAATGGAGGGGAGGGAGGGAGCAAGATGGATAGGTAGAGGGAGGCGGGGGTGGGGGATCCTTGCTGAAGACTGAAATAGTGTGAGTTGTTGTAGATTGTGGGACCTTGTTTATGGCCTTGGCTGAGGAATGTGAGATAAGAGTGGAGAGAGAAGCCACAGGAGGAGAAAAACACATCGCCTGCAATGTCACAGTCAAAATCAGGCAGATATTCTATTAATTCCAATTAAACCGAATTCCGGTGCCCTCAGACCTCCGTACACAGGGGCAAATCCAAGCCGGGTCAGAGAGATCAAGCCTGACAAACAATGTCATTCAATCTCAATTCTAAGGTCTTATGTCCATCAAGTGAACGAGCTGCGAGGTCTTTGATCAACTGTTCCACCAACACCACTCTCCGTTGTCCAGACACGGCACTCTCAACCACGACACGGCTAAGCTCCTTGTACATCCCATCAATTTTATCGGCCAGCAGGTCGTGAATCTTGCGAACTGCCATGCCTCCGAATTTGTGGTAGAAGAGGATCGCTCCAAACCCAAACAGGAGGATTCCCGCCACCAAAATGCCAAAGATATATACGTCTTCCGAATCTTCAATGGACAGGGTCGACAGACAGAGGGGCTGCCACTTGTTCCAGCTGTCAAGTGTATACCCCGCTGGTGAAGTCCCGTCCGGACACACGGGCTCTCCAGACCCACGCTTACGAGTTGAAAAGATAGAATCAATTGCGTTGAGGGACCAATTAATCATTTCCATTCTGTTAGAGTTGTCTGTGGCAAAGCTCCAGGAAAAAAGACAAAAACAGGAGATAGCAAGCCGTTCAGAAGCAGGAGCGGACTAAGACACGTCTTTGCTCGACGGAGGAGGAAGGAGGAATGTTGTCTATGTTTTACCATTCTGTTGTGGCGGCTGTTCTCTTTTATGCTGTCATTAGTTGGGGCAACAATATATCGGTCAAAAACCGTAACAGGCTGGACAAACTGGTTAAGAGGGCGGGGTCAGTGGTTGGGGGGTCACTGGACTCTGTTGAGGCAGTGGTTGAGAGGTGCATGGGGAGAAAGGTCCAGGCCATCCTTAGTAACTCCAGGCACCCTCTGTATGGGTCTCTGTCTGCTCAGAAGAGCAATCGATCGGATCGTTTCCTCTCCGTATACAGCAGGACTGAGCGCTTCCGGAGATCCTTCATCCCTGCTGCAATTCGATTTTACAACGGTCATCGCTGATGTAAATGTGTGGGGGTTTTAATTTTTTTTTTTTTATATTTATATGTATTGTCTTTTTTATCCGCTGTTTTGCTACTAAGGACAACTGAATTTCCCCTCGCTGGGATGAATAAAGTATTTATCTATCTATCTATCTATCTACATACTGTCCTGTGCAGGCTTCCGTAGAATCATAAACTATAAGGAGCACAGGGACTGGCCTCCTGCTGGGACTCTGAGGAGCACAGGGACTGGCCTCCTGCTGGGACTCTGAGGAGCACAGGGACCGGCCTCCTGCTGGGACTCTGAAGAGCACAGGGACTGGCCTCCTGCTGGGACTCTGAGGAGCACAGGGACCGGCCTCCTGCTGGGACTCTGAAGAGCACAGGGACCGGCCTCCTGCTGGGACTCTGAGGAGCACAGGGACTGGCCTCCTGCTGGGACTCTGAGGAGCACAGGGACTGGCCTCCTGCTGGGACTCTGAAGAGCACAGGGACCGGCCTCCTGCTGGTACTCTGAGGAGCACAGGGACTGGCCTCCTGCTGGGACTCTGAGGAGCACAGGGACTGGCCTCCTGCTGGTCCCAGAGCCAGGACTAAACATGGTGAGGCTGCATTTCAGATTCAAGCAGCTGTTATCTGGAACAGTCTTCCTGAAAATGCGAGACAGACTTCTTCTCTAACATAGATCAATAAATAATATCTTATCTTCATATTTTAAGACTTTTTTCAGTCAAACTTTAGCACTGCCAATAGTTATAAATGTATAATTCATAAAATCACTCGTTAGTCCCTGAGGAAATAGGCTCCAGCTATTTATCCGTCCAAATAAGCCTCTTTAGCGTTAATGCTAACATTAAGCTAACACTAAGCTAACATCCACCCTTTCATCTGTGCGTCTGACAAAGCCTGTTTAATTCCATTGTCAAAGTGAAAGTGTTTTTAAAGTCAGATCCAGTGTCTGCGGCGTCACCGTTAAAGCTCCTCACCGTGAGCTGCTGCGGCTTAAGCTCCGAGTCGCCGGGGCCTCATTGTACCGACACATGTGCCGGGTTTATTATGCTAACGAACCCTCAAACCCACACTGTAAAACTATTGCTTTCATCCACAATGAGAGGATTTGTCTGAGGTTTAGAAGACAGTTCCAGGAGCCGCAGCACTGAGCACTTTGAACAGGCACTTTGTGTGTGTGTGTGTGTGTGTGTGTGTGTGTGTGTGTGTGTGTGTGTGTGTGTGTGTGTGTGTGACTATCAGAGAGACACATGGTTTGGGTTGGAGCGTGTTAGAAGAACCATGTGTGTTTATAGAAGGACTGTCTGAATACTGGTGATGAAAGAGGCTGGTAAAGGGAGAGAAGGTGCAGTTTTGTTTCAGTCGATAATAATAATAATAATAATAATAATAATAATAATAATAATAATCAAAATGCTGCTGTGGGTGCGACCGATAAAACCAATAAAAAGGGGATAACATGAAATAAAATATGTACAAAAGAGTCTATCTAGTCTATCTCTGGTCTCTCTCTGGTCTCTCTCTGGTCTATCTCTGGTCTCTCTCTGGTCTCTCTCTGGTCTCTCTCTGGTCTCTCTCTGGTCTCTCTCTCCAATCTCTCTCTCTGGTCTCTCTCCGGTCTCTCTCTGGTCTCTCTCCGATCTCTCTCTGGTCTCTCTCCGATCTCTCTCTCTGGTCTCTCTCTGGTCTCTCTCTGGTCTCTCTCTGGTCTCTCTCCGATCTCTCTCCGGTCTCTCTCTGGTATCTCTTTAGTCTCTCTCTGGTCTCTCTCTCTGGTCTCTCTCTGGTCTCTCTCTGGTCTCTCTCCGATCTCTCTCTCTGGTCTCTCTCTGGTCTCTCTCTGGTCTCTCTCTGGTCTCTCTCCGATCTCTCTCCGGTCTCTCTCTGGTATCTCTTTAGTCTCTCTCTGGTCTCTCTCTCTGGTCTCTCTCTGGACTCTCTCTGGTCTCTCTCTGGTCTCTCTCTAGTCTCTCTCTGGTCTCTCTCTGGTCTCTCTCTGGTCTCTCTCCGGTCTCTCTCTCTGGTCTCTCTCCGGTCTCTCTCTCTGGTCTCTCTCTCTGGTCTCTCTCTAGTCCCTCTTTGGTCTCTCTCTCTGGTTTCTCTCTGGTCTCTATCTGGTCTCTCTCTCTGGTCTCTCTCCGGTCTCTCTCCGGTCTCTCTCTGGTCTCTCTCTGGTCTGTCTCCGATCTCTCTCTCTGGTCTCTCTCTGGTCTCTCTCTGGTCTCTCTCTGGTCTCTCTCCGATCTCTCTCCGGTCTCTCTCTGGTCTCTCTCTAGTCTCTCTCTGGTCTCTCTCTCTGGTCTCTCTCTGGACTCTCTCTGGTCTCTCTCTGGTCTCTCTCTGGTCTCTCTCTCTGGTCTCTCTCTGGTCTCTCTCTGGGTCTCTCTCTGGTCTCTCTCCGGTCTCTCTCTCTGGTCTCTCTCCGGTCTCTCTCTCTGGTCTCTCTCTCTGGTCTCTCTCTGGTCTCTCTCTGGTCTCTCTCCGGTCTCTCTCTCTGGTCTCTCTCCGGTCTCTCTCTCTGGTCTCTCTCTCTGGTCTCTCTCTAGTCCCTCTTTGGTCTCTCTCTCTGGTTTCTCTCTGGTCTCTCTCTGGTCTCTCTCTAGTCTCTCTCTCTCTCTCTCTCTCTCTCTGGTCTCTCTCTAGTCTCTCTCTGGTCTCTCTCTGGTCTCTCTCTGGTCTCTCTCTGGTCTCTCTCTCTGGTCTCTCTCCGGTCTCTCTCTCTGGTCTCTCTCTCTGGTCTCTCGCCGGTCTCTCTCTCTGGTCTCTCTCTCTGGTCTCTCTCTAGTCCCTCTCTGGTCTCTCTCTGGTCTCTCTCTGGTCCCTCTCTGGTCACTCTCTGGTCTCTCTCTCTCTCTCTCTCTCTCGTCCCTCTCTGGTCTCTCTCTGGTCTCTCTCTGGTCTCTCTCTCTAGTCCCTCTCTGGTCTCTCTCTGGTCTCTCTCTCTGGTCTCTCTCTAGTCCCTCTCTGGTCTCTCTCCTGTCTCGCTCTGGTCTCTCTCTCTGGTCTCTCTCTCTGGTCTCTCTCTCTCTAGTCCCTCTCTGGTCTCTCTCTCTGTCTCTCTCTCTGGTCTCTCTCTAGTCCCTCTCTGGTCTCTCTCCGGTCTCTCTCTGGTCTCTCTCTCTCTCTCTCTAGTCCCTCTCCGGTCTCTCTCTCTGGTCTCTCTCTGGTCTCTCTCTCTGGTCTCTCTCTTGTCTCTCTCTGGTCCCTCTCCGGTCTCTCTCTCTGGTCTCTCTCTGGTCTCTCTCCGGTCTCTCTCTCTGGTCTCTCTCTTGTCTCTCTCTGGTCTCTCTCTGGTCTCTCTCTCCGGTCTCTCTCTCTGGTCTCTCTCTTGTCTCTCTCTGGTCTCTCTCTCTGGTCTCTCTCTCTCTCTCTCTCTAGTCCCTCTCTGGTCTCTCTCTCTGGTCTCTCTCTGGTCTCTCTCCGGATCTCTCTCTCCGATCTCTCTCCGGTCTCTCTCTGGTCTCTCTCTAGTCTCTCTCTGGTCTCTCTCTCTGGTCTCTCTCTGGTCTCTCTCTGGTCTCTCTCTCCGGTCTCTCTCTCTGGTCTCTCTCTTGTCTCTCTCCGGTCTCTCTCTGGTCTCTCTCTGGTCTCTCTCTCTCTCTCTCTCTAGTCCCTCTCCGGTCTCTCTCTCTGGTCTCTCTCTGGTCTCTCTCTGGTCTCTCTCTGGTCTCTCTCTCCGGTCTCTCTCTCTGGTCTCTCTCTCTGGTCTCTCTCTGGTCTCTCTCTCCGGCCTCTCTCTCTGGTCTCTCTTCCTCTCTCTCTCTGTCAACAACAAAATAATGCCATTTCTTTTCATTTGTACTGAATGTATTTATCTAGTTGTGTATTTGGTGCCTCCCCAGGACTAAACATGAGGAGGCAGCATTTCAGATTCATGCAGCAACATCTGGAACAGTCTTCTTGAAAACGTGAGACAGGCTTTTTCAGTGTTTATTTATTATTATTTTAATGCCCTGTGTAATTGATTCCATCTAGTTCAGCCCTTTGTGTATGAACTGTGCCATACAGATAAACTTGCCTCGACACATCTCTGCAGACTTCTATGATTGTGTTGCTCAAGTTTCAGGTTTGACTTTATAATTGTTTGGCTCCGTGGGACAACAAAGCGGCAGAGTCCGGGCTGATTACAGACCTCGGATCGGTCGTCGTGGCAACGCTCTTGTACCGCTGCTCCGTCCCTGTGATGTGGCCTCGCTTCGTATCAAAGCTTTTTGGGATTTTTTGGTTAGAAATTTAACATTTCTGCCTCTGTGTCCCCCTTCCTCCCAGACCTCCCCCTTCCTCCCAAACCTCCCCCTTCCTCCCAAACCTCCCCCTACCTCCCTATCCTCCCCCTTCCTCCCAAACCTCCCCCTTCCTCCCAAACCACCCCCTTCCTCCCAAACCTCCCCCTTCCTCCCAAACCTCCCCCTACCTCCCTATCCTCCCCCTTCCTCCCCCTACCTCCCTCTATCTCCCAAACCTCCCCCTTCCTCCCAAACCTTCCCCTACCTCCCTATCCTCCCCCTTCCTCCCCCTACCTCCCTCTGTCTCCCAAACCTCCCCCTTCCTCCCAAACCTTCCCCTTCCTCCCCCTTCCTCCCAAACCTCCCCCTTCCTCCCAAACCTCCCCCTCCTCCCAAACCTCCCCCTTCCTCCCAAACCTCCCCCATCCTCCCAAACCTCCCCCTTCCTCCCAAACCACCCCCTACCTCCCAAACCTTCCCCTTCCTCCCCCTTCCTCCCAAACCTCCCCCTTCCTCCCAAACCTCCCCCTTCCTCCCAAACCTCCCCCATCCTCCCCCTTCCTCCCAAACCTCCCCCTTCCTCCCAAACCTCCCCCATCCTCCCAAAGCTCCCCCTTCCTCCCAAACCTCCCCCTTCCTCCCAAACCTCCCCCATCCTCCCAAAGCTCCCCCTTCCTCCCAAACCTCCCCCTTCCTCCCAAACCTCCCCCTTCCTCCCAAAGCTCCCCCTTCCTCCCAAACCTCCCCCTTCCTCCCAAACCCCCCCCTTCCTCCCAAAGCTCCCCCTTCCTCCCAAACCACCCCCTTCCTCCCAAACCTCCCCCTTCCTCCCAAACCTCCCCCTTCCTCCAAAACCACCCCCTTCCTCCCAAACCTCCCCCTTCCTCCCAAACCTCCCCCTTCCTCCCAAACCTCCCCCTTCCTCCCAAACCACCCCCTTCCTCCCAAACCTCCCCCTTCCTCCCAAACCTCCCCCTTCCTCCTAAACCTCCCCCTTCCTCCCAAACCTCCCCCTTCCTCCCAAACCTCCCCCTTCCTCCTAAACCTCCCCCTTCCTCCCAAACCTCCCTCTACCTCCCAAACCTCCCCCTTCCTCCCAAACCTCCCCCTTCCTCCCAAACCTCCCTCTCCCTCCCAAACCTCCCCCATCCTCCCAAACCTCCCCCTTCCTCCCAAACCTCCCCTGTCTCCCAAACCTCCCCCTTCCTCCCAAACCTCCCCCATCCTCCCAAACCTCCCCCTTCCTCCCAAACCACCCCCTACCTCCTAAACCTCCCCCTTCCTCCCAAACCTCCCTCTCCCTCCCAAACCTCCCCCTTCCTCCCAAACCTCCCTCTCCCTCCCAAACCTCCCCTACCTGCCAAACCTCCCCCTTCCTCCCAAACCTCCCTCTCCCTCCCAAACCTCCCCCTTCCTCCCAAACCTCCCCCTTCCTCCCAAACCTCCCTCTCCCTCCCAAACCTCCCCCTTCCTCCCAAACCTCCCCTGTCTCCCAAACCTCCCCCTTCCTCCCAAACCTCCCCCTTCCTCCCAAACCTCCCCCTTCCTCCCAAAGCTCCCCCCTTCCTCCCAAACCTCCCCCTTCCTCCCAAACCCCCCCCTTCCTCCCAAAGCTCCCCCTTCCTCCCAAACCTCCCCCTTCCTCCAAAACCACCCCCTTCCTCCCAAACCTCCCCCTTCCTCCCAAACCTCCCCCTTCCTCCCAAACCTCCCCCTTCCTCCCAAACCTCCCCCTTCCTCCCAAACCTCCCCCTTCCTCCCAAACCTACCCCTTCCTCCTAAACCTCCCCCTTCCTCCCAAACCTCCCCCTTCCTCCCAAACCTCCCCCTTCCTCCTAAACCTCCCCCTTCCTCCCAAACCTCCCTCTACCTCCCAAACCTCCCCCTTCCTCCCAAACCTCCCCCTTCCTCCCAAACCTCCCTCTCCCTCCCAAACCTCCCCCATCCTCCCAAACCTCCCCCTTCCTCCCAAACCTCCCCTGTCTCCCAAACCTCCCCCTTCCTCCCAAACCTCCCTCTCCCTCCCAAACCTCCCCCATCCTCCCAAACCTCCCCCTTCCTCCCAAACCTCCCCTGTCTCCCAAACCTCCCCCATCCTCCCAAACCTCCCCCTTCCTCCCAAACCACCCCCTACCTCCTAAACCTCCCCCTTCCTCCCAAACCTCCCTCTCCCTCCCAAACCTCCCCCTTCCTCCCAAACCTCCCTCTCCCTCCCAAACCTCCCCTACCTGCCAAACCTCCCCCTTCCTCCCAAACCTCCCTCTCCCCTCCCAAACCTCCCCCTTCCTCCCAAACCTCCCCCTTCCTCCCAAACCTCCCTCTCCCTCCCAAACCTCCCCCTCCTCCCAAACCTCCCCCTTCCTCCCAAACCTCCCCCATCCTCCCAAACCTCCCCCTTCCTCCCAAACCTCCCCCTTCCTCCCAAACCTCCCCCTACCTCCCAAACCTCCCCCTTCCTCCCAAACCTCCCCCTGTCTCCCAAACCTCCCCCTTCCTCCCAAACCACCCCCTACCTCCCAAACCTCCCCCTTCCTCCCAAACCTCCCCCTTCCTCCCAAACCTCCCCCTACCTCCTAAACCTCCCCCTTCCTCCCAAACCACCCCCTACCTCCCAAACCTCCCCCTTCCTCCCAAACCACCCCCTACCTCCCAAACCTCCCCCTTCCTCCCAAACCTCCCCCTACCTCCCAAACCTCCCCCTTCCTCCCAAACCTCCCCCTTCCTCCCAAACCACCCCCTACCTCCCCCTTCCTCCCAAAGCTCCCCCTCCCTCCCAAACCTCCCCCTCCCTCCCAAACCTCCCCCATCCTCCCAAACCTCCCCCTTCCTCCCAAACCTCCCCCTTCCTCCCAAACCTCCCCCTTCCTCCCAAACCTCCCTCTCCCTCCCAAACCTCCCCCTTCCTCCCAAACCTCCCTCTCCCTCCCAAACCTCCCCCATCCTCCCAAACCTCCCCCTTCCTCCCAAACCTCCCCCTTCCTCCCAAACCTCCCCCATCCTCCCAAACCTCCCCCTTCCTCCCAAACCTCCCCCTTCCTCCCAAACCTCCCCCTTCCTCCCAAACCTCCCTCTCCCTCCCAAACCTCCCCCTTCCTCCCAAACCTCCCCCATCCTCCCAAACCTCCCCCTTCCTCCCAAACCTCCCCCTTCCTCCCAAACCTCCCCCTTCCTCCCAAACCTCCCCCATCCTCCCAAACCTCCCCTACCTGCCAAACCTCCCCCTTCCTCCCAAACCTCCCTCTCCCTCCCAAACCTCCCCCTTCCTCCCAAACCTCCCCCTTCCTCCCAAACCTCCCTCTCCCTCCCAAACCTCCCCCTTCCTCCCAAACCTCCCCCTTCCTCCCAAACCTCCCCCATCCTCCCAAACCTCCCCCTTCCTCCCAACCCCCCCCATCCTCCCAAACCTCCCCCTTCCTCCCAAACCTCCCCCTACCTCCCAAACCTCCCCCTACCTCCCAAACCTCCCTCTACCTCCCAAACCTCCCCCATCCTCCCAAACCTTCCCCTTCCTCCCAAACCTCCCCCTACCTCCCAAACCTCCCCCATCCTCCCAAACCTCCCCCTACCTCCCAAACCTCCCCCATCCTCCCAAACCTCCCCCTACCTCCTAAACCTCCCCCTTCCTCCCAAACCTCCCTCTACCTCCCAAACCTCCCCCATCCTCCCAACCTCCCCCTACCTCCCAAACCTCCCCCATCCTCCCAAACCTCCCCCTACCTCCCAAACCTCCCCCATCCTCCCAAACCTCCCCCTACCTCCTAAACCTCCCCCTTCCTCCCAAACCTCCCCCTTCCTCCCAAACCTCCCCCTACCTCCCCCTACCTCCCAAACCTCCCCCTTCCTCCCAAACCTCCCCCATCCTCCCAAACCACCCCCCTACCTCCCAAACCTCCCCCATCCTCCCAAACCTCCCCCTTCCTCCCAAACCTCCCCCATCCTCCCAAACCTCCCCCTTCCTCCCAAACCTCCCCCTCCTCCCAAACCTCCCCCTTCCTCCCAAACCTCCCCCTACCTCCCAAACCTCCCCCTTCCTCCCAAACCTCCCCCTTCCTCCCAAACCTTCCCCTTCCTCCCAAACCTCCCCCTACCTCCCAAACCTCCCCCCCAAACTTTCCCCTTCCTCCTAAACCTCCCCCTTCCTCCCAAACCTCCCTCTCCCCCCCCCAAACCTCCCCCTTCCTCCCAAACCCCCCCCTACCTCCCAAACCTCCCCCTTCCTCCCAAACCTCCCCCTACCTCCCAAACCTCCCCCTTCCTCCCAAACCTCCCCCTTCCTCCCAAACCTTCCCCTTCCTCCCAAACCTCCCCCCTTCCTCCCAAACCTCCCCCTACCTCCCAAACCTCCCCCTTCCTCCCAAACCTCCCCCTTCCTCCCAAACCTTCCCCTTCCTCCCAAACCTCCCCCTACCTCCCAAACCTCCCCCCCAAACTTTCCCCTTCCTCCTAAACCTCCCCCTTCCTCCCAAACCTCCCTCTCCCTCCCAAACCTCCCCCTTCCTCCCAAACCCCCCCCTCCCTCCCAAACCTCCCCCTACCTCCCAAACCTCCCCCCCAAACTTTCCCCTTCCTCCTAAACCTCCCCCATCCTCCCAAACCTCCCCCTACCTCCTAAACCTCCCCCTTCCTCCCAAACCTCCCCCTACCTCCCAAACCTCCCCCTTCCTCCCAAACCTCCCCCTTCCTCCCAAACCTCCCCCTACCTCCCAAACCTCCCCCTTCCTCCCAAACCTCCCCCATCCTCCCAAACCACCCCCTACCTCCCAAACCTCCCCCATCCTCCCAAACCTCCCCCTTCCTCCCAAACCTCCCCCATCCTCCCAAACCTCCCCCTTCCTCCCAAACCTCCCAAACCTCCCCCTTCCTCCCAAACCTCCCCCTTCCTCCCAAACCTCCCCCTACCTCCCAAACCTCCCCCCTTCCTCCCAAACCTCCCCCTTCCTCCCAAACCTCCCCCTACCTCCCAAACCTCCCCCCCAAACTTTCCCCTTCCTCCTAAACCTCCCCCTTCCTCCCAAACCTCCCTCTCCCTCCCAAACCTCCCCCTTCCTCCCAAACCCCCCTCTCCCTCCCAAACCTCCCCCTTCCTCCCAAACCCTCCCCCTACCTCCCAAACCTCCCCCCCTTCCTCCCAAACCTCCCCCTTCCTCCCAAACCTTCCCCTTCCTCCCAAACCTCCCCCTTCCTCCCAAACCTCCCCCTACCTCCCAAACCTCCCCCTTCCTCCCAAACCTCCCCCTTCCTCCCAAACCTTCCCTTCCTCCCAAACCTCCCCCCTACCTCCAAACCCCCCCCCCAAACTTTCCCCTTCCTCCTAAACCTCCCCCTCCTCCCAAACCTCCCTCCTCCCCCCAAACAAACCTCCCCTTCCTCCCAAACCCCCCTCTCCCTCCCAAACCTCCCCCTTCCTCCCAAACCTCCCCCTACCTCCCAAACCTCCCCCCTTCCTCCCAAACCTCCCCCTTCCTCCCAAACCTCCCCCTACCCCCCAAATCTCCCCCTTCCTCCCAAACCTCCCTCTACCTCCCAACCTCCCCCTTCCTCCCCAAACCCCCCCCTTCCTCCCAAACCTCCCCCATCCTCCCAAACCTCCCCCATCCTCCCAAACCTCCCCCTTCCTCCCCCCCCACCTCCCCCCCTCCTCCCAAACCTCCCCCATCCTCCCAAACCTCCCCCATCCTCCCCCAACCTCCCCCTCCCTCCCAAACCTCCCCCTTCCTCCCAAACCTCCCCCATCCTCCCAAACCTCCCCCTTCCTCCCAACCTCCCCCTTCCTCCCAAACCTCCCCCCTTCCTCCCAAACCACCCCCTTCCTCCCAAACCTCCCCCTCCTCCCAAACCTTCCCCTTCCTCCCAAACCTCCCCCTTCCTCCCAAACCTCCCCCTACCTCCCCCTACCTCCCAAACCTCCCCCCTTCCCTCCCCAACCTCCCCCCTTCCTCCCAAACCTTCCCCTTCCTCCTAAACCTCCCCCTTCCTCCCAAACCTCCCTCTCCCTCCCCAAACCTCCCCCTACCTCCCCAAAACCTCCCCCTTCCTCCCAAACCTCCCTCTCCCTCCCCAAACCCCTCCCCCTTCCTTCCCCAAACCTCCCCCTTCCTCCCAAACCTCCCCCTTCCTCCCAAACCTCCCCCTTCCTCCTAAACCTCCCCCTTCCTCCTAAACCCCCTCCCCCTACCTCCCAAACCCCCCCTTCCTCCCAAACCACCCCCTCCTCCCCCCAACCTCCCCCCTTCCTCCCAAACCTCCCTCTCCCTCCCAAACCTCCCCCTTCCTCCCAAACCCCCCTCTCCCTCCCAAACCTCCCCCTCCTCCCAAACCTCCCCCCTACCTCCCAAAACCTCCCCCTTCCTCCCAAACCTCCCCCTACCTCCCAAACCTCCCCCTACCTCCCAAACCTCCCCCTTCCTCCTAAACCTCCCCCTTCCTCCCAAACCTCCCTCTCCCTCCCAAACCTCCCCCTTCCTCCCAAACCTCCCCCTTCCTCCCAAACCTCCCCCTACCTCCCCCTTCCTCCCAAACCTCCCCCTTCCTCCCAAACCCCCCTCTCCCTCCCAAACCTCCCCCTTCCTCCAAACCTCCCCCTACCTCCCAAACCTCCCCCTACCTCCCAAACCTCCCCCTTCCTCCCAAACCTCCCCCTACCTCCCAAACCTCCCCCTACCTCCCAAACCTCCCCCCCTTCCTCCTAAACCTCCCCCTTCCTCCCAAACCTCCCTCTCCCTCCCAAACCTCCCCCTTCCTCCCAAACCTCCCCTACCTGCCAAACCTCCCCCTACCTCCCCCTCCCCCTCCCCCCACCTCCCCCCCCCCTCCCCCCCTCCCCCACCTCCCCCCCCCCCTCCCCCCACCTCCCCCCTCCCTCCCCCACCCCCCCCCACCTCCCCCACCCCCCCCCCCCCTCCCACACCTCCCCCCCCCCTCCCCCACCTCCCCCCCTCCCCCACCTCCCCACCTCCCCCTCCTCCCACCCCCCCCCTCCCCCCCCACCTCCCCCTCCCTCCCCACCTCCCCCCCCTCCCCCCACCTCCCCCCCCTCCCCCACCTCCCCCCCCCTCCCCCCCTCCCCCCTCCCCCCCACCTCCCCCCTCCCCCCCCACCTCCCCCTCCCCCCCCCTCCCCCCCCTCCCCCCCTCCCCCTCCCCCCCTCCCCCCTCCCCCACCTCCCCCTCCCCCTCCCCCACACCTCCCCCCTTCCTCCTAAACCTCCCCCTTCCTCCCCAAACCTCCCCCTCACTCCCAAACTCCCCCTTCCTCCCAAACCTCCCTCTCCCTCCCAAACCTCCCCTACCTCCCAAACCTCCCCCCCTTCCTCCAAACCTCCCCCTTCCTCCCAAACCTCCCCCTTCCTCCCAAACCTCTCCCCTTACCTCCCAAACCTCCCCCTTCCTCCCAAACCTCCCCCTTCCTCCTAAACCTCCCCCTTCCTCCTAAACCTCCCCCTTCCTCCCAAACCTCCCCCTTCCTCCTAAACCTCCCCCTTCCTCCTAAACCTCCCCCTTCCTCCTAAACCTCCCCCTTCCTCCCAAACCTCCCCTACCTCCTAAACCTCCCCCTTCCTCCCAAACCTCCCCCTTCCTCCCAAACTTCCCCCTGTCTCTCAAACCACCCTCTGTCTCCCCCTTCCTCCCCCATTCGTCCCCAAAGCCACTCCAGCTGTGATTCTGATTGGCCGCCGTCGCTCCGCGGTCATGATATATAAAAGCCGTAGAACACCCGCTCGCGGCCGGACTCGGATGTTAATATTTCATACTCACCTCTTACTTATTTTAGTGAGAATAATTGATCTGGAAAGAGCAAAAACCCAAAGCCTCTGAGGGGAAGATATTTCTCTTTTCTCTGGTCGGACAATTCGAGGTAGAACAGGGTTTTTGTACAAAGCTTCTTTTATATCTCCTGCAATTTCTGATTTTGGAATAAAAGTAATTTGAGTGGAGCGGAGTTAAAAAGGGAAGTGGATTGAAGGTTTCGTGAGGCTGCATATCTCCGGTCAAAGTGGTTCTTTTGCTGCAGTCTTGTTGCAGAAAATTGGCGCGTATGAAAAGAATATGCAAAGTCATGAGTATTGAAGGTATTTTTGAGTTGGGACAGAACTTATTTCAGACTAGAACGGACCGGAGTCGGACTTTCACATCCACGTTTAGCATTTAGACCATTCAGTAAAAACTCCTACACATTGAAAACTTAAAAAAAAAAATTAAACATAATAATTTAAGGAAAATACCAAGCCCAAGAAGGAAAGGTCTGGCAGCTCTCCTACATTTCTAAGACGGCTTATTGCTGTTTTCTTTCGTTGTTAAAATTTAAATGTTTTCTCAAATTATTGATATACTCGTTCCTTTTCGTCCTATTGTTTATTATATATATTTTTTTCTCCTGAGCTTGACATTTAGTTTAGCTTCTATTTTGAAAAGGGTTTTGCCCCTTTCAAAATACTTTAGAGACTTTACTTAATGAATTGGATTAGGCAAACATAAGATCCACTTCAGTCCCTTTGGTCACAATTGCGTTTGTAAATCTATGTTAAAGCACGTACACTACTGACATACACGTCCTAACGCTGATACAACTCTGATATATGTAACAATCTGCATTAGAACTGAACATATTGTCAAAGACATGATGGCAAGGCAAGGCAAGTTTATTTATATAGCACAATTCATACACAAGGCAACTCAAAGTGCTGAACAAAACAAGAAAGCATTAAAATCATAAATAATCACAGAATATTAAAAAGAAAGATACAAATATAAAATCCCTCAGTTGTAGCACAGCTAAACAGAACTGTCTTTAACCTGGTTTTAAACATTGTCAGAGAGGAGGCCTGTCTCACATCTTCAGGAAGACTGTTCCAGATTTTAGCAGCATGAATCTGAAAAGCAGCCTCCCCATGTTTAGTTCTGACTCTGGGCACTAACAGGAGTCCAGTCCCTGTGCTCCTCTGAGTCCCAGCAGGAGGCCAGTCCCTGTGCTCCTCTGAGTCCCAGCAGGAGGCCAGTCCCTGTGCTCCTCAGAGTCCCAGTAGGAGTCCAGTCCCTGTGCTCCTCAGAGTCCCAGCAGGAGTCCAGTCCCTGTGCTCCTCAGAGTCCCAGCAGGAGTCCGGTCCCTGTGCTCCTCAGAGTCCCAGCAGGAGTCCAGTCCCTGTGCTCCTCAGAGTCCGGGCTGGTTCATATGGGACTAACATGTCACTAATATATTTTGGTGCGAGGCCATGGAGAGACTTGTAACAAGCAGAGCTGTTTTAAAGTCTATTCTCTGAGCCACAGGAAGCCAGTGCAGAGACCTGAGGACTGGACTAATGTGGTCGTACTTCCTGGTTCTAGTCAGGACTAATGTGGTCGTACTTCCTGGTTCTAGTCAGGACTAATGTGGTCGTACTTCCTGGTTCTTGTCAGGACTCGATGCGTCTCCATCTTTCACTGACCTGAGCCAACAGAGCATCATGGCCTGAATCTGAATCCAGAGTTCACTGTTAATAACTTACACTCAGAACTATTTGGTGTTAATTCAGGTTGCTTCACTAAAATATTTCTATAACAATACATTGTTTTTGTAACCGTGGACCTTTTTTGAATGCCTTTTTAACTCATTGACTGCCATTGACAAATTTATCTTGGACCCTCTATTTGACTGGGGATTACAGGACAATAAAAATAGCTAAAAACAAACTTATTTTTGCTGATTAAAGTAGACAATCCAGTCTTTCAGAATCTGGTTTCACATTTCACATAGTCTTAGGAAATAATATTCTATGGATCTTGAGAATCAGTGAAATCATCAAAAACGGCAGGCAGTCAATGAGTTAATGTAAAAAAAAATAATAATAATTTGTATGACCGAATAAACAAACCTACTGCATGTTCAGGTCATTTCTCCATTGTTGTTGGTCAGAGAGACTTTACAAAACCCATGTGCCTCGTTTGTTTTAACGGCAAGGAAAAACAAGTGATTCCATTTACAAGGAGCATAAAAGTAGAGGATCTGAGGCTGTACAGTTTGAGGTTTGAAGTGAATCCTAAATGTTTTGCAGAGTGTGAGGATTCTAAACTGGAGTCAATGCTGGAGTAATGTAAGATCGTTTCTTCTTGTTCGAGCGGCAGAATTCACACATAATTCAGAATAAATGTGTTTTGTTTTAATACTCAGATCAGAAGGAGACACATCTGCACCGATAGTGTTAGTCTAGAAGTGTTTCTGGTCGAAGACGCTGAGGCTGAAGACGAAGCAGCACTGTTTATATTTCTATAATTAGCATCATAAGCTACATCTAGTTTGTACTTATATATATTTGGTGACTTCAAAGTAATGCAGTAGTTGTAATACTTTACTATTCAGAGACAGTAATATTTAAGTAACACATGATGTACATTTTTGAAGTATCTTTCCCGACACTGCCGTTAGCCAAACTCTACTGATTTTTCTCTGCAGCGGCTAAGTTAGCTCATCTCCCGCGACACGCACAGCCAAAGGTCAGCCTAGTTGGTGTTGGGCGCCTCCAAAACTCTCCCCGGCTTGTTAAGCAGACAAAGAAAAGGTTAAATCCCAGAAACCCGTCGCAGAACACGGCGTAAAAAGCTCTTTCTCTTCTTCTATTGTTGCCCGCATCGACTTCCTGCTCATTCATCGGGAAAGCGTTCGTGTAGTGCCGTCCATTTAGGCAAACAGTCGCTGATGTGTGGCTGCGGCTCCGCAAATAACCCTTGGCATTCACACTCCGGCGGCGGCGAAGGGAACGGAGGCACAATTGATTTGGTTCTAAGCAGCGGCGGGCTCGGGTCACGGCGGGTCCGGGCTGTATTCATGGATGCACAAAAGCACCTGTTAGCATCCTCCAAACAGACTGCACTTAATGATTTGGTGAAGAATAGAAAAGTCAGCAGTCGATGGGAGCCGTGGGAGGTCCGGGTGCCGAGGGAGAGGCAGGTGGACTCCAGCTGAGGAGAGCCAGGACCGGGAAGAATTATTATTTGATTATTAAATTGTTCTTTTTCTTTTTATTAGCAGAAAAAAAAAGAAAAACATTTCACACATATACAAAGCTACATCAATGATACATATAGATCAGAGAGAGAGAGAGACCAGAGAGAGAGAGAGACCAGAGAGAGAGACCAGAGAGAGAGAGACCAGAGAGAGAGACCAGAGAGAGAGACCAGAGAGAGAGAGAGAGAGAGACCAGAGAGAGAGAGAGACCAGAGAGACCAGAGAGACCAGAGAGAGAGAGAGACCAGAGAGAGACCAGAGAGAGAGAGAGACCAGAGAGAGAGAGATCTTAGAGAGACCAGAGAGAGAGAGATCTTAGAGAGACGAGAGAGAGAGAGAGACCAGAGAGAGAGAGATCTTAGAGAGACCAGAGAGGGAGAGAGAGACCAGAGAGAGAGAGATCGTAGAGAGACCAAAGAGGGAGAGAGAGAGACCAGAGAGAGACAGAGATCTTAGAGAGACCAGAGAGAGAGAGAGAGAGAGAGAGAGACCAGAGAGAGAGAGAGAGAGAGACCAGAGAGAGAGAGATCTTAGAGAGACCAGAGAGAGAGAGATCTTAGAGAGACCAGAGAGAGAGAGAGAGAGAGAGAGAGATCTTAGAGAGACCAGAGAGAGAGAGAGAGAGAGAGAGACCAGAGAGAGAGAGAGAGAGAGAGAGAGAGAGACCAGAGAGAGAGCGATCTTAGAGAGACCAGAGAGAGAGAGATCTTAGAGAGACCAGAGAGAGAGAGAGAGAGAGAGACCAGAGAGAGAGACCAGAGAGAGACCAGAGAGAGAGAGATCATAGAAGGAACAAAAAGAGAGAGATCAGAGAAAGAGCAGAGAGAGAGAGAGACGAGAGAGAGAGATCAAAGAAAGAGCTGAAAGAGAGAGACCAGAGAGAGAGAGCAGGAGGCCTCCCCATGTTTAGTCCTGACTCTTGACCCCAGCAGGAGGCCGGTCCCTGTGCTCCTCAGAGTCCCAGCAGGAGGCCGGTCCCTGTGCTCCTCAGAGTCCCAGCAGGAGCCAGTCCCTGTGCTCCTCAGAGTCCCAGCAGGAGGCCGGTCCCTGTGCTCCTCAGAGTCCCAGCAGGAGGCCAGTCCCTGTGCTCCTCAGAGTCCCAGCAGGAGGCCAGTCCCTGTGCTCCTCAGAGTCCCAGCAGGAGGCCAGTCCCTGTGCTCCTCAGAGTCCCAGCAGGAGGCCAGTCCCTGTGCTCCTCAGAGTCCCAGCAGGAGGCCAGTCCCTGTGCTCCTCAGAGTCCCAGCAGGAGGCCAGTCCCTGTGCTCCTCAGAGTCTCAGCAGGAGGCCAGTCCCTGTGCTCCTCAGAGTCCCAGCAGGAGTCCAGTCCCTGTGCTCCTCAGAGTCCCAGCAGGAGGCCAGTCCCTGTGCTCCTCAGAGTCCCAGCAGGAGGCCAGTCCCTGTGCTCCTCAGAGTCCAAACAGATCCGACTCTTTGTGCATCTTGAGAATATTTTCTTTTTTCGACACAAACATCGTCTGTAAGCGACGGGAGAGCGGCTCGATACATTTCCCCGGACGCCTGATTGTGAGTAAATATAACAGCACCACCGCAGCAGACAAACCCAGTCAGATACTCATTCGTCAGACTGACAGTAGAAACCCCATCTCTGTAATTACACCTGATGCCCTTCTGCTCGATCGCTGCAATCATTTGTGCAAACAGCGGCGAGCGTCCTCTGCTCTCGCTGATCCATGATGGGCCCGAGTCGAGCCGAAAACCTGTAAACAATGAACGTCCACGATGTGCGTCTGCTCAAGATGGATGTCCACGTCTATCACTCTGTGTTTTTATTATTTTCAGTCTCCCTCTGTCTCCCTCTGTCTCCCTCTACCTCCCAAAACGGCCGAACATCCACCGATTTAAGTCTACCGTTCTAGCTAAACGCAGACAAAACATTTATGATTGTCTTTGGTCCAGAAACAAAGAGAGAGCGTCATCTGTCACCTACAGTCTCTCTCCCTAAAACCTTCAAACAAGGTCAGAAATCTAGGGGTAATACTGGACTCAGACTTAAATTTTAATAGCCACATCAAATCAGTGACATCAGCAGCTTTTTACCATCTAAAAAACATTGCCAGGATCAAAAACATAGTGTCTAAAGCAGACCTGGAGATTCTTATCCATGCATTTGTCTCCAGTAGGTTAGACTACTGCAATTGCCTGCTCACAGGTCTGTCCAAACAGGCTGTAAAACAGCTGCAGTACATTCAAAATGCAGCAGCTCCAGTCCTGACTAGAACCAGGAAGTACGACCACATTAGTCCTGACTAGAACCAGGAAGTACGACCATATTAGTCCAGTCCTCAGGTCTCTGCACTGGCTTCCTGTGGCTCAGAGAATACTTTAAAACAGCTCTGCTTGTTACAAGTCTCTCCATGGCCTCGCACCAAAATATATTAGTGACATGTTAGTACCCAGCCCGATGAACCAGGGACCCGGGACTCTGAGGAGCACAGGGACTGGACTCCTGCTGGGACTCTGAGGAGCACAGGGACTGGCTCCTGCTGGACTCCACAGGGACTGGCTCCTGCTGGGACTCTGAGGAGCACAGGGACTGGACCTCCTGCTGGGACTCTGAGGAGCACAGGGACTGGACTCCTGCTGGGAGTCTGAGGAGCACAGGGACTGGACTCCTGCTGGGACTCTGAGGAGCACAGGGACTGGAGCACAGGGACTGGACTCCTGCTGGGACTCTCAGGAGCACAGGGACTGGACTCCTGCTGGGACTCTGAGGAGCACAGGGACTGGACTCCTGTTAGTGCCCAGAGTCAGAACTAAACATGGGGAGGCTGCTTTTCAGATTCATGCTGCTAAAATCTGGAACAGTCTTCCTGAAGATGTGAGACAGGCCTCCTCTCTGACAATGTTTAAAACCAGGTTAAAGACAGTTCTGTTTAGCTGTGCTACAACTGAGGGATTTTATATGTGTATCTTTCTTTTTAACTTTGAGTTGCCTTGCGTATGAATTGTGCTATACAGATAAATGTGCCTTGCCTTGATGGATGTCGGCGTTTCTCACTGTGTGTTTTTTCTTAGTTCTTGAATATTTAGAGACTGGGCAGAATTGGAGAAGGACAAGATCGATATCGCGGTGAGAAGACAATCCCGCCATTTTCAACCACGGAGCCTTTTCCGAACGCCGCCTCCCGTCGCATTACGCCTGTATTCTTTTCATCTCTCCTCTGTCTCTTTTCCAATCGTCTAAAAGCTTTTATCGCGCGTAACAAGAGCTCCTCCAAATCTTTCGCCTATAATGAAAACTCGGAAATGTAACGTGAGCCACAAGAACGATTCTCCGTGCCCGGGGGTTGCAGTGTTATGACAGGTTTCTCTGCCGTTTTTTGGGGATAGATACTATTTTTCTGCAGAAGAAGAAAGAAAAGTGTGTCTGTGAAATGCAGTATAAATAGAGTTTGAAGGCTGTGGAGAGTGTCATGTAGCGGTGGGAGGAAAGTGCTGAGGCTGCGGTCGGGCCATCTGGTGGGTCCTCTGGGATCTGGGCCGGGCCATGCTGTGCCTATGTGTTGGTATGATGATTGGATGGCGTCACAGAGCTGTTGGCGTGTCCTTTGGTGTGTACTCGCGAGGGGGAAGGTGTCAGGAGGATGAAAAATGGCCAGAGAGAGGACGCTGGTGTGTAACTTTCTGTGCGTCGTGTAAAAACTGGGTTATCTAAGTTTTAACTAAACTACTTTGAACTTTTTCGTCCACTTTGCTTCACGGACTTTTAGGCACAGGTTGACGTACACACACGAGTAGATATGCTCTGGCCTAGACCGGAGTAAACTGGTTATACTTTGCCGTTTATTGAGCTAAAGATAGAGATTTCGTTTCATTTTTGTCACGTGGTGAGATGAATGAAGGAAGACAAAATGCAGGACTGAAAATAACATGTTTAAAATGTAAAAATATCTCAATTTAAAGTGAAAAAAGGTAAAAAATTCCAGAACTGAAAAACTAGACAAACAATGGACGGACAAAGCTTAAGATGGAGATTTCCAGCTTCCATCCCCAAAATCCCCACATTATTGTTTTTATGCCACTTGATTGATTGATTGATGGAGGGAGAACATGCAAATTCCACTCAGAAAGACTGTTTTGACTGGGATTCGAACTCAGGACCCTCTTGCTGAGAAGTGAGAAAGTTGACCACTCAACCATTGTCGCGAAAGGCCAGTGTTGCAGCGTCCATTACAGAACGTCTATGATTAGTTAAAAACAAGAAGCTTAGAAATATTCTTCCGACTTCATAAATACTGTGTTTTTCCAGTGGGTAACGAGCCTATGATGTATCAGCAGTGCTTCACCTCTCTGAACCCTCGCAGCAGGTTAATGTAATGAGCCTGAAGACACACTTTAAAAAGAAAATCTCTGGTTGAAATAATGAAAAAAACATGAAAATCCTTGTTTTGACCTTTTTGCTGCGAGCAATGGAGGAAGGACGTCTGTGACACGGAGCCTGGAGGACGAGCAGCACGACGGCGTCAAAAGGTGAGAAAGCAGATGGATACGGAGCGTTCGTCCTCTGTCTGTGAGGAGGCCCAGAGGTCAGAGGTCAGAGGTCTACATCTGGATGGGCCTGATGCTGAAGACTGGAGAGACTCAGACCTGGCCCCTTTAGACCAAACCGGCAGCAGCATCGTGCACTTCTAGTTCTGTGTTGGTTCTGACAAGATACCCCCGTTAATTATGCACGCTGGTTTCATGATGTCTTTATCTCATTACGACCATCCATTCATATAAACATAGATAGATATATAAACAGTATATACACACACGGCAGAGGCTAACGAGCGACCGGCTAACGACAAAAAGAAACAACATTAATGAGGAACATTTCAACTTTCTGCAACATCTCCACAGTGGAACGAAAACAGGATTTTTCAACATTATCCTTACGTTTTAGTTCATGTAGATACAATGTTTTACTACAACTTCTCCCCAACTGATCACCCTGGACATAAAAGGACCTTTAGAACAGGGGTGTCCAAACATTTTAGTAAGAGGGCCACTTTAGATCCCCAGACTAGTCCAGGGGCCAACATCACAGACTGAAAAACTGTCTTGACTGGTATTGGGCTGTTCTGAGCTTAAAAATGATCTATAGCAGAGCTGAAGTTGGCTGAATGACACAGGTTTACCATCTCAGCAGCTACAGTAGCATCATTAATGGAAGTTTATGACACAATCAAAATCCACTTCAGCAAGTAAGTAATTTATTATTTATACAGAACATTTTACAGACCAGTATATACAAACATGTAGTTGTAGGCACATAGGTACATGTAGTTGTAAGCACATAGGTACATGTAGTTGTGAGCACATAGGTACATGTAGTTGTAAGCACATAGGTACATGTAGTTGTAAGCACATAGGTACATGTAGTTGTGAGCACATAGGTACATGTAGTTGTAAGCACATAGGTACATGTAGTTGTGAGCACATAGGTACATGTAGTTGTAAGCACATAGGTACATGTAGTTGTAAGCACATAGGTACATGTAGTTGTAAGCACATAGGTACATGTAGTTGTAAGCACATAGGTACATGTAGTTTAAAGCACATAGGGTACATGTAGTTGTAGCCCTAGGTACATTAGGTGGAGCATCGACAGTGTAGTGGTCCTTGGATGAGCGCACATAGGTACATGTAGTTGTGAGCACATAGGTACATGTGTTTGTGAGCACATAGGTACATGTGTTTGTGAGCACATAGGTACATGTGTTTGTGAGCACATAGGTACATGTGTTTGTGAGCACATAGGTACATGTGTTTGTGAGCACATAGGTACATGTGTTTGTGAGCACATAGCATGGATGTATTATATTAACTGGATAGGGTATTACTAGCTTGTAGCTGAATAACTCATGTGCTCAGGGGATTCTCGCGGTACTGCAGACTGACGAACCAGACTAAATTCACGTGGGCTACCCAGAAATTTTCCCCATAGAACTCAATGCATATTAAAACAGCTCAACCTCAGCTGACAGAGAACCTACAGCTTTAATAAAGATCGGATTTTGTGGGGATTTTAGTGTCCCTTGTCATCCTGAACTTTTTTTCTTCTTAAATCCTTCGGTTTTGTTTAAATCCACACTTTAGTGCCACAAACTCTGCTCCTCTGGCTCTCGCTCTAACTCCCGCTCTGATGAACTGCTCTGATTGGTCAGAGCGCGGCCGAGCCCCTCTGTGCACGTGCGTGAGACCCGGTGTGAGACCCACACACGCGTGTTTGGCGCAACGCATTATGGGAGATCATCCACTGCGCAGAACCGGGAGGACCAGACGATGCCCAAATACAGGCGAGTTTCCCATAGATCTTTGCGAGTTTCAGGCAACTTCCGCTAATCTTTCAGCCCCCATGCCGTCACAAAGCGCCACTGAGCACAACCATTCATTTGAATAGGGCGCATCTTTTGAATCGGACGCCGGGGCTTAGGGCACAATTAGGTACATGGTAGTTGTGAAGCACATTGAGAGGTACATGTGTTTGGCAGAGCTTGCAAGTTGGATGGATGACACAGTGAGACTTGTGGGTCCGTTAGTGAGCGCAGAAGGAAGGAGGGGCCCCCATAACAGAGATAACAGTGAGGGCCTCGATCGGACTCTCTGGCCAGAAGTTTTTGGACAATGCCTGGTTTAGGAAAAAAATGTCTATTCCTATCCTACACAGAGGACTTTTTGCCTTTTCTTCTAGCATCTTAAGCTACGTCAATCTTTAAGCTAAATAACCCCACACTCTCCTCCAAATCAACGTGATCCAACGCAACAAACAAAAACCCCATTACTTGACATTGAAAACTGCTTTTGCTTTCTTCTTAAAAACATACACTGGAACATCAATCTGGAAAACAAAGGGCCGTAGGTCCTCTCAGCAGGCAAAGTAACAGAAACGCCTGATTGCAGTGAGTGTTTTCTTCCAACGCCTACGTATCCTCCGTCTCCCCCCAAAAAACGTGCAGCGCTCCCCCTTTTAATGGTCTCTATTAACTGGAAGAAAAACTTTGTGTAGATGTTTGGTGGAATTTGCCTTTTGTCGTTTTTGTGTTAATTTTTATTCGGATTTAATCGCTTTGGTTTTAGCCCCGAGAGCCCCAATAGCTCAAACTTCCGAGTTTTTGTGACATTCTTTTCTTGTTGACCTCTACATGGCAATTTATGAGGATTTAGGGAAATTCTGATAATGAAGGTCTCCTCAGGACGATACAGAGGTCAGTGGATGATCCCTGGACACCAAAATCTCTGAATGAGCACGCACCAGGAGGGGACTAGGCTGGGACTCTGAGGAGCACAGGGGACTGGCCTCCCTGCTGGTAACGCTCTCGAAGAAGTCAAAACAGGGGACTGGCCTCCCTTGCTGGGCGGGACTCTGAGGAGCCACAAGGGAACTGGGGCCCCTCCTGGGCGGGGGCTGGACCTCTGGAGGAAGCACACGAGGACATGACCTCCTGACGGGGGACTCTGAGGAGCACAGGGACTGGGCCTCCTGCTGGTACTCTGAGGTCTACACAGGGACTGGCTCCTGCTGGGACTCTGAGGAGCACAGGACTGGCCTCCTGCTGGTACTCTGAGGAGCACAGGGACTGGCTCCTGCTGGGACTCTGACTAAACTATTGATTTTCTGATCCCTGCTGACGTCAGGACTAGGGGAGGCAGTGTTTCAAAACAGTCTTCCTGAAAATGTGAGACAGGCTTCTACTCACTACAGATATATAAAGTTTATGTTATCTTACTCTGATAATGTCCAAACCCAGGTTAAAATCTCGCTGCAACAACTAAAGCATTGTACCTTTGCTGATTATTTCCTCCGGTACCTTTACTGTGTGATGGTTTCTACATGTGCCATACAATCAAACTGACCTTCTTCTTTCTCATCCGTCTCTTTACAGTGAAAAACCTGCACAAATCTCTCCCAGAATGACGTCTTCTCTCTGGAGCTTTCCCACATAGATTCTCCATCTGCTCGAGGAGAACGAGATTAAATATGCATGTTCTCCCCCTCACAGCCCAGTGACCAGCCGAGTCCTGAAAACGCAGATTCATACTAAGAGAGTGGCTTGGCCTGGCTCGGTCTGGCTCTGCATGGCTCTGGGTGGCTCGGTCTGGCTCTGCATTCTTCGTGATGTCAGTCTGGCTCTGCATTCTCGGTATGTCTCATCTGGCTCTGCGTGTCTGGTATGGCACTGCGTGGCCCCAGTCCTGGCTCGGTATAGGCTCTGCTTTGCTTCTGGTTGGCTCGGTCCTGAGCTCTTTATGACTCAGGATGGCTCCGGTCCTGGCCTCTGCATGTCTCGAAAAAAAAATTAAAAAATAGAAACAAAAAACAAAAGAAAAAAAGAAAAAAGATGGCCTCAGGTCTGGCTCTGCGTGTCTTGGTATGGCTCTGCGTGGCCCAGTCTGGCTCGGTATGGCTCTGCGTGGCTCTGGGTGGCTCGGTCTGGCTCTTTATGTCTCGGGATGGCTCGGTCTGGCTCTGCATGTCTCGGGATGGCTCGGTCTGGCTCTGGGTGTCTTGGTATGGCTCTGCGTGGCCCAGGCTGGCTCGGTATGGCTCTGCGTGTCTTGGCCTGGCTTGGTATGGCTCTGCGTGGCTTGGTCTGGCTGCGTGGCTCGGTGTCTCGTTCTGGCTCTGCTTGTCTCGCCCTGGATCTGCGTGTCTCGGCCTGGCTCTGCGTGGCCCAGCCTGGCTCGGTCTGGCCCTGCGTGGCTCGGCCTGGCTCGGTCTGGCTCTGCGTGACATGCCGCTCTGTTCTTCTTGTTTACCTCATGATTACTTGATGTGCTCCTTTCAGACTCTCAGACACAGGAAGCGGCTCATGTTGGCGTGAAGAAGACTCATCACTAACTTGGATCTGGAAAAACCGTAGCATTGAGAGATTCAGTAATGCAATAAAAAGGGGAAAAATAAGTTAAAAATGGCTCAAATTTGAAGAAACGTATTGCAATCTGAGCATATATTTTGTACTTGTATGTGCGGCGTCCTTAAGTGTCAAGAAAGAAAACAAATGTATTTTTATTATTAATTTAAGCACATTCTGACTGCCTTATTCATCTAATGTTCTCTCCTTCTGAAGCCAGCAATGTAAACAAGCAGGATCACTAATAACACAAATATATTTTAATTATTGGCCTTTACCGAATGGTTGAGTTGCAGTTTGATGGTAAAAGTGCATAAACCAAGAGATAGAGATTCCCCGATGAGGTAGATTTCATTTCCAAGCTTCATGTTGATACAGTAACTCCACCAAAACTTGAGCAAAACATTAAAGGGTTCAAATGAGATCTCAAAATGATAACAGAGTAAATGTCTTTGTCCCGTTGGAGGATCTAGTTTAAACACAGTCAGAATGTGTCAGATTGAGACAAACAACCACTAAATTCAAGCCTTTTTAACCTGGTACTTTCTGATTTTAGTCCGTGTGGGCCCTTCTCGCGCTGGAAGCTTGTTCTCTGACACGGTTTTCATTCAGTATTTATGAATCCCTATGAGGCTTTTATGCTCCCGCTGTTTGTCGGTGGAAACAGCTCAGTGGCCCGTGGTAGAATTAGAACAGGTGCATCATGGGCCTTTTCTGAGATGCAGGAAAAACTCTCGCACTTCAGTCCTCCTCGTTCCAGACCGGACTCTATCCCTGACCCTGATACACCAAAGCTAGCCCTGATGAACTAGCCCAAGCCTTGAACTACTTGTATGTATATATTTATTTTTATCTAAGCATTATTTTGGATATTTTTTGACCTACCGTATTGTCATCATCCATTTTCCTTTGCCACCCGCCAACCCAGAAATAGACAATCAGCTGCAGTACTGTGTTATGTCCTTTAAAACATGTGAATAATAATAATAATAATAATAAAAATAATAATAATGATAATAATAATATTCACCAGTTTTAGCAAATATTAGTAAGTAAAGGTAGTAAAGGTAAAAAAAATTGATGACATATTAAGGCCCTTTAATGATGACGGATTAGGGCCCTTTAATGATGACAGATTAGGGCCCTTTAATGATGACTGATTAGGGCCCTTTAATTATGACAGATTAGGGCTCTTTAATGATGACAGATTAGGGCCCTTTAATGATGACAGATTAGGGCCCTTTAATGATGACAGATTAGGGCCCTTTAATCATGACAGATTAGGGCCCTTTAATGATAACAGATTAGGGCCCTTTAATCATGACAGATTAAGGCTCTTTAATGATGACAGATTAGGGCCCTTTAATGATGACAGATTAGGGCCCTTTAATCATGACAGATTAGGGCCCTTTAATTATGACAGATTAGGGCTCTTTAATGATGACAGATTAGGGCCCTTTAATGATGACAGACTAGGGCCCTTTAATTATGACGGATTAGGGCCCTTTAATGATGACAGATTAGGGCCCTTTAATCATGACAGATTAGGGCCCTTTAATGATGACAGATTAGGGCCCTTTAATGATGACAGATTAGGGCCCTTTAATCATGACAGATTTGGGCCCTTTAATGATAACAGATTAGGGCCCTTTAATCATGACAGATCAGGGCCCTTTAATGATGACAGATTAGGGCCCTTTAATGATGACAGATTAGGGCCCTTTAATGATGACAGGCTAGGGCCCTTTAATGATGACAGGTTAGGGCCCTTTAATGATGACAGATTAGGGCCCTTTAATGATGACTGATTAGGGCCCTTTAATGATGACAGATTAGGGCCCTTTAATGATGACAGATTAGGGCCCTTTAATGATGACAGATTAGGGCCCTTTAATGAGGACAGATTAGGGCCCTTTAATGATGACAGATTAGGCCCTTTAATGATGACAGATTAGGGCCCTTTAATGATGACAGATTAGGGCCCTTTAATGATGACAGATTAGGGCCTTTAATGATGACAGATTAGGCCCTTTAATGATGACAGATTAGGGCCCTTTAATGATGACAGATTAGGGCCATTTAATGATGACAAATTAGGGCCCTTTAATGATGACAGATTAGGGCCCTTTAATGATGACAGATTAGGGCCCTTTAATTATGACAGATTAGGGCTCTTTAATGATGACAGATTAGGGCCCTTTAATGATGACAGACTAGGGCCCTTTAATTATGACGGATTAGGGCCCTTTAATGATGACAGATTAGGGCCCTTTAATCATGACAGATTAGGGCCCTTTAATGATGACAGATTAGGGCCCTTTAATGATGACAGATTAGGGCCCTTTAATCATGACAGATTTGGGCCCTTTAATGATAACAGATTAGGGCCCTTTAATCATGACAGATCAGGGCCCTTTAATGATGACAGATTAGGGCCCTTTAATGATGACAGATTAGGGCCCTTTAATGATGACTGTTTAGGGCCTTTAATGATGACGGATTAAGGACCTTTAATGATGACAGATTAGGGCCCTTTAATGATGACAGATTAGGGCCCTTTAATGATGACAGGTTAGGGCCCTTTAATGATGACAGGTTAGGGCCCTTTAATGATGACAGATTAGGGCCCTTTTAATGATGACAGTTTAGGGCCTTTAATGATGACAGATTAGGCCCTTTAATGATAACAGATTAGGGCCCTTTAATGATGACAGATTAGGGCCCTTTAATGATGACAGATTAGGGCCTTTAATGATGACAGATTAGGCCCTTTAATGATGACAGATTAGGGTCCTTTAATGATGACAGATTAGGGCCCTTAATGATGACAGATTAGGGTCCTTTAATGACGACAGATTAAGGCCCTTTAATGATGACAGATTAGGGCTCTTTAATGATAACAGATTAGGGCCATTTAATGATGACAAATTAGGGCCCTTTAATGATGACAGATTAGGGCCCTTTAATGATGACAGATTAGGGCCCTTTAATTATGAATGTTTAGGGCCTTTAATGATGACAGATTAAGACCCTTTAATGATAACAGATTAGGGCCCTTTAATGATGACAGATTAGGGTCCTTTAATGAAGACAGATTAAGGCCCTTTAATGATGACAGATTAGGGCCCTTTAATGATGACAGATTAGGGTCCTTTAATGAAGACAGATTAAGGCCCTTTATTGATGACAGATTAGGGCCCCTTACTGATGACAGATTAGGGTCCTTTAATGAAGACAGATTAAGGCCCTTTAATGATGACAGATTAGGGCCCTTTAATGAAGACAGATTAAGGCCCTTTAATGATGACAGATTAGGGCCCTTTAATGATGACAGATTAGGGCCCTTTAATGATGACCGGACATGAAAATCTTACATATTGCTGCTTTGATTGACAGATGGTGGAGAGTTGTGTGCGGTGGTGGAAGGAGGAGCAGGAGGCGAGAGAAAAGACTGATGCCAACGTGGACCTCGGCCAATCCCGGTTCATTATCCTTCACGCCATTTAACCGGTTCACAGAATCCATCGGGCGTCGCATGCGCCGCTGTGTCCTAATGACAGCTCCAGGCTACACTCGCTGAGATTTAAGACTCAGATAAATGCGAGGGTTAAATTACAAAAGCTCTAACACGGATTAAAGTTCAGCCAGAAAAGATAATTTTGTAACATTGGTTTTGTTTGGGGCTTTTTCTTATGCAGATTAAATCTAGACGGATTTTGAGATCGGGTTTTGTTCTGAAAGATGCAAAGACATAGACAATAGACATAACAGTGTAATACATGTCTTGCCCAAAGGTACAAAGGCAAACAGACAAACCTGCTGTGATCCGGACATTCTTGTAAAGCCCAAAATCTCAACTTCAAGGATTATACTGGTGAATCTCTGACATACGATATCATTCATAACTTCAACCTCAAAAATGTACATACACTACGTACTGTAAATACTGGCCTGGTCGTACCGCACCACTGTACTCATTTCATTTTGTACTAAGGTCTGCATTTTGCTTCTGAATCTAAAACCCGTCAAATTGACTGCTGTGGGAGTTGGCTAACAGCGGTGTAGCTAACAGCGGTGTAGCTACAGCATATCTGCCGTACACAGAGAGAGTGTGTTCCTTGCGCGGCGTTAGCTTGAATGACGGCGAACAAAGAGACACTGAGACCTGCGCAGCTAAACATCATTGATTGCTTTGAGGCGCTTCGAGTGGTTTTGGAAAAAATTTCAATAAATATTAAAATGAGCGGCGCACTCCCAGGGCACGGGGGAGAGAGGGGGAGAGCGGAGAGAGAGAGAGCGGAGAGAGAGAGAGAGCGGAGAGAGAGAGAGCGGAGAGAGAGAGAGCGGAGATGGACGGGTTTGGGCTCAGAGTGTTTGGCGTCTGCCGCAGCACGATGCAGTGGGGGGTCTGGGGATAATGTGATGTTTTGATAATGGAGGTGGTTAGAATGTGGTGGGAATAGAGAAAGTGTGTGTTAGAAAACCGATAATAAATCTAAGGCAAGGCAAGTTTATATGTATAGCACAGTTATCTTAAAAGGCACGAAGAAGTCTGAGAGCTTTGATTTTCCACAGAAAGGGCGGAGGATTCAGAACTCGGGATATGGGAGGGGTTTTCTTCTTCCGGGTGGATCATCTTTCTAGACTATTGGTCGTCCTAATTGTCAATCATTCTGGTGATATGCGATACACGTTTTAACAGGCCTGCCCTCCGAGTGCGGTTCTTTCTGAAAATTCTGGAAAATCCTCCTATTCTTGTGTTTCATGAACCTGGCCAGTAGGGGGCGCATGAGCAGAGATGGGACAGTGTTGCTCCCATTGAAAACCATGTAAAGTCTGTTTTGGAGTCAAAGGCTCTCCTCCTGTGCGGTGTACGGTTGTTGGAAGAGTCTTAATCGGGGACACTCACTTCTAAAGCCTAGGGTACATCGGACTGGCAACTGATTATATGGGGCGGCAGTAGCTCAGTTGGTAGAGTGTTGGCCTTTGAGCCAGAAGGTCGTGGGTTCAAGCCCCGCTCAAGACATTCCCCATCGACTCCCACTGTCTGCTGTTGTTGTGTCCTTGGCAAGACACTTAACCTCTGGGAACAGCAGGTGCCACAGTGGGGCGGCTGCGGCTGTAAAGTGCCAAACTGCCGTTGTGTCCTTAGGCAAGACACTTGCCTAGACACTTGCCTAGAATGAGTCTGGTGTGTGTATGAATGATTGGTGGTGGTGGGAGGGGCTGATGGCACAGACTGGTGGCCTCGCTTCTGTCAGTGTGCCCCAGGGCAGCTGTGGCTACAGTAGTAGTTTATCACCACCGTGTTTGGAGTGAAAGAATAATGACACATGTGAAGCGTCTTTGAGTGTCCAAAAAGCGCTATATAAAACTTAAAAAAATATTATTATTATTATTATTATATCCGTGGCCTATGAGTGGCTGCCCCGCACTCTGACGAGCAACTCCAGTATCAGGCCAGTCTGGGGAATAACAGCAACTGGCCTCAACTACAGTGTGTTCTCTGACATCAACTGTAGAGGGCGCTATACACACATGTTGTTGGAGCGCGCACATCCGGATCTGAGAACAGCTAGTTGCCGAAAAGTAGAACACGGGCAACTGACTGAATCCGGAGATCGACAGTTTATCTCCAGTTGTAAGAGCGCTCATCTCAGTCGCCAAAAGCCGCCTTGAAACTAGTCGTCTCCAGTTTCTCTGTCCATGTACGCTAGGCTTAAGGGAGCACTAACAAATATTTCTCAAAAGAGTCTTGATTTTGGGCATTTTTGGGAAAAAAAAAACAGAAGAAATTGCTGCGTATCATTGCGGTGGCCTGCAGGGGGCGCTTATCTGGGAAAGCCTTGATCCTCCTCGTCCGCCTCTTTTCAGTAATTTTTTTCCAAATGTCTTCCTTTCTA